AAGTTCTTCAAATACCTTTAGAACATAGTACTTGAAGAAGAAGAAAATCAGTGTACTCGTATTTATCGTAACGTAAGACCCTACCGAGAGATTTTATGATTAGGTAGATTACATCTTAAATTAAAGTGTTGTAATGGAAAAATTTCATAAAAAACTTTACAATCTAGGAACTTGTGGCTTAAATTTTGTAACAAACGTTCTACAAATTGTCACAGTATAACATATTTCTAATGTACTAAGCGTAATAAAAAGAAGCATTATAAATTTGACCGCAACAATACGTAACACAAATACTTAAGCATGAAATACATTGCGATTTGAATATTGAACAATATAAACGGTAATAAGCAGACCACGAGTGTAGTCTAATCTCAAATAAAACGATGTACATTTTTTTAAGTAATACGAACAACAAATTATATGGCTTATTCCGCTGAAATGTACCATGAATAATTGCACATTATCATATGCCTTATTGTAAAAGTCAAGTGTTTCATACCAAAAATTAGATTGCACAGGTCTTTCTAAAATGAAATTTATTGAATTAACAGTATAAAAAAATTTGAAATTGACGTTTTGCATGTCGTTAATAAACGTATAGAAAAATAGAAGAGCCAAGCATTCAGAGACTCCTGAAGAGGAAACGAAAGGCATAGTCGAGTAACGGAGTTAAGTGGTTTTTCTTATTAATAGTAAATTAGATTGGAAGCAATGCTCAAATATACAAGCTATAGCCGTACTCAAAAAAAAATTTGGCTGCAATTATTGTTGGCTTTAAAAGTTTTCTGTAACTTTATATCTAGCGACTTCAAGTAGACAACATTATGTAAAAAAAAATTGACAAATGATGACCACTCAGTTGACAGTTACATACAAATTAACTAGTACATAGTAACTATCTTGAGACCTTAGAACTTATATCTCAAGGTTGGTGGCGCATTTACGTCGTGGATGTCTCTAGGCTCCAGTAACCACTTAACACCAGGTGGGCTGTGAGCTCGTCCACCATCTAAGCAAAAAAAAATGGTTTGGAAACAGGTGGGAGAATTATACGGAAAATAGTATGGATGCTCTCTGAACTTAATATTGCATCGCAATACTGCAATTGCGGTTTTGGTGGACATGCCTCGATATTGTATAGCACCTGGAATGGTTGCGGACGCGAATATTGCACATACGTAAACGTAAACGGGCTTGATATCGCAAGAACTGTAATTAATACACGCATACCCCTATTTTGAAATTGGGACAACTGTTACAATACAGCTTAAACTGAATACTTTGATTTTATTTTTCAAAGGGAGGAGTCACGGCAAAATCAATATAAAAATATCATCTTCTTCCATGATGCACAAAACACTAAATTTAACTAAAATTTAAAATTAAGGACGACTAAAATTTTTTTCGGTTTAATCTCTTCTCAGTCGTGTCACTCTTGACAGAGTGGTCGTGATCGTCATGTAGTGTTGGAAGGGGCAGACTTGATGCGTCTCACGATGTCGCGCCATCTCTCCCTGCTCGAGGCCATTCTACTGCACTCATTTAGGGGACCTCCCACTGCAGTTTTAATTTGGTCGGTCCACCGCATTGGTGGCCTCCCGCGCGGTCTTGTACCATCAACGCTTCCCCGTACAACGAGGCGTTCTATGGACCGGCCATCTCGTCGCGAAACGTGTCCGAAGAAATTCACCATTCGAGACTGTACTATACCAAATAGACGCTGCTTGATGCCGAGTTCCTGAAGTATCGAGACATTTGTACGCAAGTCGGTCCACGAAACTCCAAGCATTCTTCTCCAGCACCACATTTCCAGAGCGTCTATTTTCCTCCTTTCCACGTCTCGCACGGTCCACGTCTCAGCAGCGTATAGAAATATAGAAAATATTAGTGTTCTAACGAGCCTGATCTTTGTGGTTTTGGTTATGTTTCTATTTCTCCATACTTTCCTCAGCCCGTCCATCGCCGACCTCGTGACAGCCATGCGCCTTCTGATTTCGTCCATGCATCCGCCATTATTTGAGATTAACGCCCCAAGGTATATGTAGGACTGGACCACGTCGCAACCCGCTATTTGAGTCACGTCCGGCGAGTTATTCATAGCGCGATCGACAATCATCACCTTGGTCTTACTGACCGGTTTAATAGAACATAATTAAGATTATCTAAATTTTTAAAATATATGTACATTCCATACACAATGCTATATTCTTTGTATTAAATACAGATACTTACTAGTTACTACTACATATACATATACTTAGAAATATTATAATAATATTGTTATTAAAGATCGGATTCTTTCTTCAAACAGAAGCATATTATTGTTTAATTGGAGAACCCACACCCAGAATTAAAATAAAAAAATACTATGTAAACATTTCTAAAATTGTTATGAAGATATTTTAAGGTTTTAAGGTTCGATAGGAAAAAATCTTCTGCAATTAGATGAAAATTTACAATAAAGCAGAGGGAAATAGCATTAGGAGTGGTGCGATGATATTTCTATTCAATAAAGCTAGAGTAAATGGGAGACTTAATTAGCATTTGCAAAGCTGATGTATCAGGCAAACTTAGTTAATTAGTTCCTGAATAGGATAATCAGTACATATTCATAAGTTAGATTTTTTTATTATTTCAAATCGATTATTACGTTAACTAATAATCGATGTAATATAAAAAAGTAAATTTGTTAGCGAGTGTTATTTCCGTTAAATTTTATTTTTTAGAACAGTTTCCGACGCATTGTATACTTAGAATATAGATAAAATATTTATTACAGTATAGTATGTTACACATAATACAATGATTTTCAAAATTCACATGAATAGTATTATGATAAAATAAAATATTTATATTTCAAATTAGAAATACGGAAGACGCTCTCGATTTGGGGCGTATATATTTTTTTAAGTATCCTGTGATTAAAAAGGACCAGTGTAGCTAGGGGGGTAAAAGAATGAAAGAAAAGTAGTGTGATTTTAAAAGTTTAATTTTTTTTTTTTTTTTCTTTTAGGAATGGATTATCAAAATACAAAACAAAATACAATTTGTTCGTGCGTTTTAGGTTTTTTGGTTTAGTTATAAAAACAATTCGTAATGAATGAAATGACTTTTTTATAACTCCATACACGAATATGTATGTTACAAAGTCTTACAAATATATACTTTTTTATCATTGAGGGATTACTGGTGGCTCGAAGACCTTTCCAGTTTCACCAGGACAGGTGGGCGAGCAAGGGCTCAGCCAGGAGGGGTGGATTGCCAACAGCAACCCGAGCGCCTCCAAAGTAGACCTAACAACTCAAGAGTAACTGCTTCGCGATTGAATCTACTACCGAATCGCGACACGCTGAGAACATCCGGCGAGAAACTCAAAGGGCTGACGTTAAAGTTAGGCACAAATATACTGTCCACTTGCTTTAAATATTAGTTTACTCTTATCACACTATATTATGGTCAAATTTAGGTTCAAAATTTAAAAAATTACGTTTCCCATTTAAGCTATTCAAATACTTATTAGGTTCCAATACATACAATAATTATGTCAACTTTCCTATTTATAGTTGAACTAGCGACCCGCCCTCGCTTCGCTTCGGAAACATTAAAACACACATGAAACGAAAAAAAAAAATTAAAAAAATATAAAAAAAAGTAGCCTATGTTCATCAGGGACAATGTCGGCTTCTAGTGGAAAAAGAATTTTTCAAATCGGTCCAGTAGTTTCGGAGCCTATTCGAAACAAACAAACAAACAAATCTTTCCTCTTTATAATATTAGTATAGATATAGATATAGATGTTCAAGTCATATTTCAACATTTAGAAAATAGAGAATTGATGAAAGCTCTGTAAATACGTCATATTGTTTTACCCGTATTTTCACTTTGCTTTAAACATAGGTTCAGTAAAGCTCCAAATGGCCGGCACAATTAATGAAAGCGATTAATAAATTGCAATTGTAGAAAAAATCCCTTTGATGAAAGTGAAACTGGACGTCCGTTCCAGACCGGATTCCGGGAAATGGAACAGTGTTGGTAAACAAATATAGACCTGCAGTATTTTGCATTGGAATCGAAAGTAATTTGTGAAAGTAATTAGCTTTTAATTTGTTTGAAACATTGTTTGAACACAAAACGTAGCCACTGAAATGTTATGGTGTAAGTAAGAAGTGCAAATAAGATTATTATATACTTTTTAAGAAATTCTTACAGGCAAATCTCTTAAAAACAATTTTAAGTCATATTTTAACATTTGTTACAGCTGTCACACAAATTTATTGATATGGATAGGGACATATTTTTTTGTTATTAAAGTTCTTAAGCGTGTGTATAATATATTATCCGAAAAATTGACTATGAGGGCAAGAAGCGCCCGCCGCTCGACTAAGGGGCTTTCTTTTCTATTGATTAACGGGTCTTATGTCAATTATAAGCAGCTTATGATGTCAATGTTTCATTATTTACTTAAAAATAAAGTATGAATGTGGCTATGTTTCTCGCGATATATTAAATAGAATGACATAATGTCAAAGAATCTTATTGATAAGTATTACATGAAATAATGGACAAACGAATACGTAGTAGGAGTGCAAAAGTAAATTCGGAAAACGTTTTAATCAACTTTATATTACGAAGAATGAGGACGTTGTCACCTCGAGCGTAATTTTTTTTAATAATGAGATTAAAGCATGCAATTGATTAAATGAATATTTTAGAAAAACTATAACGTTTGTTGATGATATGAAAGAAAGTGTGGGTAATGTAGTAGCGTGGTCATGTCATAAAAAGTAATATGGCATGCTTTATTATAATGTCAGTAAAAACTTCTTCCTATGTAATAATGTTAATAATAATCCACATGGTGAGTAATACTTACGATGAACAGCCTGCAAATAGCCTGCCAACGTAGCAAATTTTCGAAGTACTCTCATCATTTTTGGAACTACACCTGTAAACTACGAGTATAAGCAAGAAGACATGATGATATTCAGCAAAACACTCACCTGACACTCGTAACATGAGTGAACGGAGTAGGCCTGGTCGCAATCGTAACGACCGAGGATGTCGGCGAAGTCGTAATGCACGCGTGCGACCATTGCGTCTAGCCCAAGGATTTCATGCAGCGTGCGCTCGCAGGGCTCTCCGCCGATGAGCATGTCGGTGCGTGCGGCAGGATGCAGCACGGAAGCGGGCGAACGCTCGCAGCAGGTGCGCAGTCGCAGGTTCGTCAGACGACGCGCGCGTTCACTGGCTTCCAGCGCGCACAGGTACGGCACGTCGCGCTCCGTGAGCGCTTCGGCCGCGCCGCCGCTGCCGCTGCACGCCGTGCCCCCGCGGTCGCGCATCTCGCCCGCACCCTCTTCCTCCAGGTCGCACGCGCTCAGCCAGGGGTTGAGGCGCGCGAGCGGACTCACGGCCAGGCCCGCGGCCGCCATCAGCAGTAGCAGCAGCGGCGGCGCTCGCATGGCGGGGGCGGCGCCGCTAGCGGGGGCCGGCCCGCCGGGCGCGGCGCTGCCTCATACCGCATCGCGCATGGCGACCTACTCGCGCGGCCCGGGCCGCGGGGCCGCCGCGCGGGTTGGGCGCGCCGCCATGTCGCTCTCTCGCCGCTCGACTGACTCCCCCCGGGCGCGCATCGATCGCCCCGCGCCCCGCACCTGCCGCTGCGCGCGCTTATTTTCCCGTTATGTAACCCTGCGCGCGCATAAAGGGTTCCGCCCGCCCTCAACAGCGCCCTCTTACAGCCCAACACAGATATCCGCCTGCCCTATTCTGAGATAGTAAACCTACACTCGATGAAGTATCGTAAATATCATATAGATGGCACTGGCTTAAAACCGATGCGGACTTATTGAAGTTTTAAATTCACATATCGTATTTATAATTTATCGATATATTTTAAGTTCATCAATCTGTAATTTTTCAATACCTTTCTTGAAAAAGTCAGGTCTACGGGAGCCAACAAAGTCTTCTAAGGCATTTTATACTGCCTCTGGGGTATCATTTGTTTTTCCCGCCAAGGAGGTGTCCAAACTTTGGAAAAAGTAGAAGTCTGTCGAGGCAAAATCTGGTGAGTCTGGACCCTAGTTCTTGTAGCTTAGAGACAGTCTGTTGTGCCTTATGAAGTCGAGCGTTGTCGTGTAGGAGCAGCCGCTACGAGATATTAATTAAAGGTAGCCGGAGATTTTCAAGCTTCTCCATCATTGTATCCAATTACTCGCAAGACACATCCGCAGTAATGTTGGTGCCATTTGGTAAGAAGCTGTGACCATGACACCAAACAGCGACCAAGAATTTTTAGGGATATTTATTGTTTGAAGCATTATCTAGGCGTTGAGCCAGGGTCTAACCAATATGATGACCGCTTATTATTTATCAAAATAATCAATTATTCATCGCAAGTGACAGTGCGTTTCAAAATCAATTCGTTATGTATTGAGCAACACATACCTTGCCATCCATACCTTAACGCGTTCGTCGCGCTAGCGATCGTTTAGTTCGTGCGGCATCCACTTAACAAATTTGTTTACCTTGCAAATTAAACAGGAAAGGACTAATATTGTTCTGATGCTAACGTGAAAAGCTGCTGAAGAATTCTATATTTATTGAATAAAGATCATTTGAATTTAAAATTTATTGAAATGAAATGAAATGCATTTATATCAGGCAACTTAAGCCCATAAAATTTCACATACAATTACATAACATCTGTGTATATCAAAATATTATAAAATTAAAAGTACAATTTTATCAGAATGACTAAAAACAAAAACAAACAAAAATTAAACCAAATCAAATGAAACCGAATCAAAATTATTAAAATTAAGATTGTCAACAAACTAATAAAAAATTAAAATTAATAAAGGAACTAATACAATCAATAATCAAATTATTGCTAGCCTTAGATTACCTACTTTCTTAAATGGGCTGTATTATAAAATAGCAACTTTATAGGTATAAGACAATAAGACCTATTTATTAGCAAACTACCTGAACAAAACTGATCGCACATTATTTGCTAAGCTTCTTCTTCTCCATCGCTCCCTCATGATCGTAACTCCGTTTTAGCTTGTCGACTGTCAGCCTCCATCGGTTCCGGTCAGTTGCCTGGTGTAGTGCAGCGCTAAGTGGTCCGCTGGTTTGCTCGGAGATCTGGTCGGACCAACGTTTGGGGCTCCGGCCTCTAGCTAAGCTAAGCTATACATAGATGATTAGTATTATAGCTAATTTATTACATTTTATGAACCCAAATTCTAAAGTGAATACAGCTCACAGATGTCTCCCATTCGTCATCACCTTAGACCATCGACTACTAGACATACGGGTCAGCTGATTTCTGATTGTATTAGGTACATTATCTGTGATGCAAAAAAATCATTTATATCAAGATGAATATTTTCGATCACGATTTCGTTGTTGTCCGTTCGTATCATATTTATTTCTGGGCGTTAGTTTATCCTCACCCAACGTTTGGTAACCCTAGGATGGTATGTACAAATTAAACAGCGAATCCGATATCCCACTAAGCAACGATTCCATCTTCGCTTTCTGCACTAAAGCGTGGAATCCTCAACGAGAGGCAGTATTCACAAAAGGCAAATAGCGTTGACACCTCTAAATTAACTCTACGGATCTACGACAACACCATCAGAGACTTTAAACGTATTAAAACATATATTAAGATGGGCATAAAATCCTGCAACTGATCGATTGATTAAATAAGACTTTTCCAAACCCGACTCTGAAGTATAGTTTTTACGTTTATTCTGATGAAAATTAGTCATTGCCGAAAATGGTCATAATAGGTTGAGGGAAAAGTTTCTTCGCATTTTTGGAGAAAATTCACAAAAAAAATTAATATAGTTTATTTACATTTAACTACAGTATATAGGTACCACTGTGTTCGATAACTTTTTGCCATTTTGTAGGTAGGTACGTGATCCCATTGCTATAGAAATTTTGGGGCTTCTGATCAAAATACCGCGACAATTGGTTTTGGCAGTCCTTTTTTTTTTTTTTTTTTTAAATGTTAACCTGACACTGCCTAAAGAATTCTGAAGAGACCGAAACAGGTGGAAATCTGAAGGTGCAAGGTCAGGACCTTACGGCGGATGCATTAACGCCTCCCAGCCAAGCTCTCTTAATTTTTACTGAGTTGCTAAAGATGTGTGAGGTCTAGCGTTATTATGATGAAAAACCATACCCCTTCTGTTGATTAATTCCGGTCGCTTTCTCTCAACTTCTTGCTTTAATCTCATCAGTTGTTCGCAGTAGAGTTCAGAATCGATGGTCCTGCCTGGTGGTAACAGCGCATAATGAATAATGCCCTTCCAATCCCACCACACACACAGCATTACCTTGTTGCGAGTTAACCCGGGCTTCATCACAGTCTGTGAAGCCTGACTGGCCTTTGACCACGACCTTTTTCGCTCGTTCTTTTCGCACGTGATCCACTTTTCATCACCAGTTATCAGCTTTTTCCAAAATGGGTCGGTTTCATTACGTCGTAATAAAGAATTACAAATGAGTACACGGTTCATTAGGTTTCTTTCAATAAGCTCGTGAGGTACCCAAATATCGAGCTTTTTTGTGTATCCAGTTTTTTTTCCAATGCGCCATAACTGTTTTGTGGTCAATTCCCAGTTCTTCTGCTACGTCATAACTACTGAAATGCCGATCTTGCTCCACTTTTTCAAAAATGGCATACATTTTATCCGTAATAGGGCCAACAGAGCGACGTGCACCTTTGACATAAAAAATTCCGGATTGAAAAAGCTTAAACCTTTGTGCTACTCTCACAGACACTGCACTGGGTCCATGAACCTCGCAAATTTTTTTAGCCGCTTGCGTTACATTTTTACCCTTTTTGTAGCAAAATTTTAAAATGTATCGAATTTCTTCATTAGATTCACTCATCTTGACAGTACGAAATAAAATAGAAATCACACATAAAATTTTCCTAATTTGAATTTAAATTTATTTTCTTTAAAATTTAAGCTTTTAATGATACCAAAACCAGCCAGATACAAATAATATAGCCAAAGAGATTTTATTACAAGTTCATACATACTATATTGCGAAAAGACTTTTTCCCCAACCTATTAGAACAGTCCGTATCCAATCGTGTAGATATCCAAATTCTAGGGCACAGTACTCGAGTTGTCTAAAAAATACACTTCGTGTCCAGGTGTCAAAATTACACTTAGTTGGTAGAAAAAAATTATGAAATGTACTATATAATATTTTACTTTACTATATAATACTTACTTTAATTTATAATACTTTATAAAATACTTTGAGTGGCTTCAAGTAAAACTGATGATTTATATTTCGTCGGCTGTTAGTGCAATAATAAAATGAATGATCATGATGGGTTATTTGGAGTACTACCTGTGCAAAAAATGTCAGAAAACGCAGACCGAGCTAAAGTCTCCTCGCATATTATCTTTAAAATTTCAAGTTTTATTGCATAGACGAGTGAACAAGCTTACGGCTCACCCGGTGTTGTGTTGTTACCTGTATTCTTAGTGCGGGTTTTTAACGTTCTCAAATTTTTATGCAGTTGGAGCTCCCCTAGCAGCAAACGTAGGCAAACGTTTCAACTCCATACTTTGAGTAAACTTTTACGATATCGAGAACGTTAAAAAACTCGTACTAAGCACACGGAGCCCATAGACATCACAATACTTATGCAGTCACTGACTTTGAATATTGGTGTATATTGTCTCAATTATCTTATAGTAATTGTAATTTTTATTACACAATGTTTTCCTTCAACTTGGAAATCATTCATGAAAAATTTTTTTTATTGCCCTTGTAGGCAGACGAGCATACGGCCCACCTGATGGTGAGTGGTTACCGTCGCCCATGGACTTCAGCAATGCCAGGGGCATTGCCAAGCCGCTGCCTACCGCTTAATACTCTCCACAAGCCTCTTTTAAAGAAGGACATATCATAGCGCTCGGGGAACACCGTGGATGGGAGCTCATCATAGCCGGATGGTGGCAAAAAAGACCTCTGGAAATGCACTGTCGATGAACGCAGCGGTTCCAGATAATATGGATGAACTCTGCTTCGATGGCGGGAGGTGCGAACATGCACTAAGTACTTACATATTTCGTTAGTAAAATTGGTATAATTTTATAAGTCGTCGTGACCTAACGGATAAGACGTCCGATGGATTCGTGTTGAGCGATGCACCGATGTTCGAATGTCAGGCGGGTACCAATTTTTCTAATAAAATACGTACTCAACAAATGTTCACGATTGACTTCCACGGTGAAGGAATAACATCGTGTAATAAAAATAAAACCCGCAAAATTATAATTTGCGTAATTACTGGTGGTAGGACCTCTTGTGAGTCCGCACAGGTGGGTACCACCGCCCTACCTATTTCGTTGCGTAGTAATGCGTTTCGGTTTGAAGGGTGGGGCAGCCGTTGTAACTATACTGAGACCTTAGAACTTATATCTCAAGGTGGGTGGCACATTTACGTTATGGATGTCTATGGGCTCCAGTTTGGAGCTGATTAACGACAAAGGGAAGATCTTCCACCGAGCGGATGATATTGCTCGGTAGACCGACGGTCCGAATGTTGTTGTTCGGAACTTGTATATATGCGCTTTATCTTGAAAATGTCGTAAGCCAGATTCAGGCATCTGTCAATTATCTTGCGTTGTATGATGGCTACCCGCCACATCACTCCCCTCCGAGACTGGAGGTCGTGTCATTTTTAGTTAGCGTTGTCCGTGCTGAGATTAGCTTGCAAGGGCCAGTGCTGCTCTAAACCTGCGGTGAGTCGAGGTTGAGCTTGAATGCTGCGTGCGTGTCGCCAGTGCTGCTCGAAGTTTGCAGTGAGTCGAAACTGAGCTGAATGCTGCGTGACTGTTGCCAGTGCTGCTGCTCGAAGTCTGCGGTGAGTCGAGACTGAGCTTGAATGTTGCGTGCGTGTCGTGCGTAGTCCATGTGATGCAAGGCTGCCACGCCGGAGATGTGTGACCCCAAGCGTTGATGATCCGGTCGTGGGCTGCGATGAACTGTAGCGGCGTGATGAGGCAGTGAAGTTGCGTGCCGTAGGACCAGGAAGCGCGGTGAGTCGGCTGCGATGGTCCTGTTGAGGCTGCGATGCTGGCTTGCTGTGGGACGACTGTCAATGACGTGCTTTTATCTGCGAGAATGCGGGGATTGTGGTAGCCGGAGTTCTTGATGCGCTGAAGATGAATCAGAAGGTTGCGTGTTCACATCACGTCGGGGTCACCAGTTTGGAGCTGATTAACGACAAAGGGAAGATCTTCCACCGAGCGGATGATATTGCTCGGTAGACCGACGGTCCGAATGTTGTTGTTCGGAACTTGTATATATGCGCTTTATCTTGAAAATGTCGTAAGCCAGATTCAGGCATCTGTCAATTATCTTGCGTTGTATGATGGCTACCCGCCACACCAGTAACCACTTAACACCAGGTGGGCTGTGAGCTCGTCCACCCATCTAAGCAATAAAAAATAAATAAATAAAACTTGCCTTATTGATTTCAATACCGGCACAGTTGCATCAAACGATACTAATACACCTGCCGTTTTATACTTAGCCTCAAAAGCTTTATAGCGAAACAATGACATAATTCACTGACTGATTTTTGTTTCATATTCCTCTTAATAGCTTAACACTTATTTAGGGGCAAAATCGAATGTCTGATAAACTATTAAAAAAAAAAAAAAAAAAAAAAAAACAATTAATTAGAAACTTCTTATAATTAGATATTGGTAGTGACTGATAATTCTATAAAATTACCCTACTTATGCAATGTTTGACAATTTATAAAATACACCTACCTACTCTATCAATAGAAGGTCAATAAGTCCCCAAGTTAATCGATTGTGACATACGATAGAGTAGAAATCGTAAGGATCGCTATTCCAGCCGTTTGGTTAGAGAACCTAGTGCTTAGAATTCAGTACTGTTTCACATTGAACACATTTGAACAGTAATAATAATTAATATTAAAAGTAAGCACAGAGCATACAGCATTTAAAACTACGAATTCACTTGGGTTTTATTTAGTTCTCGTTAAAAGCCAAGGACTGTGATCGATGAGTAATCTGAATTGTTATTATTTCATTAAACCTATGCCAATCCTATATACGATATCCATCTTGCCATAAACGTATTGTGACGAGCATTAAGTAGCATATAATACGACTAGACCACCCAGACCAATAGCAATTAGTTATTTTTAGGTATAACTAAGTTATACGGCGTAATAAATACAAATTAAGCTATTTTTTTAAAATTAATTCCGATTTTTTTACAACGTTTTGCTGTATTAACATGGCATTAATTGATGTCGTAATTAGACTGGCAGTATACGAATTATTTAATGAGTAAACATGTAACTTACGTGGTATGATTGTGCATCTCTGTCGCTCGTGAAGCTGAGTGAGATAGTGGAGACTACGGAGGTCTCTCTTGTACAATCATGACGCAATAATGCTTACGCGCATAGCCGACGAGTGCATTCACTCTTAAGCGTGTCTCTCGCTTACAACGCACAACAAACCTAGATACACAATTTTGTAAAACTTAAAAATATTAAAGAGTGTGTGATATTATTAAAACAAGACACGAGTGTTGTGTTCTACAATATAACTCAAGACTTAAACCTCTGTTCGAAGGTTAATTTCATCACTGACAATGGACGCGACGAGTAAGTAAAATACGTTTAGTAGTAGGCATAGAAGTAGTACGTATACTAAATGATGAATCTTTTTAAATCATTGTAAGAAATACGTACCTACCGCTTTAGCTCATAATGTTTTGTCTTTGTGAAATCTTAAGCTTTCTAATAGCATTACTTTGTTTGTTATTGGTTGTTCTGTCTCTTTTATTTCTACATCACCTTGCGAATAATTAACCATAAACACAATCTAATGATTTAAGTTCACCTATCTGATTATAATATAATATCGTTCTCCTCATTATTTTTCGTCGCAACGATGTTGAAGGCTGTTTAATAAAGAATTTCATTAAAATATTTTCTTAAATCTTTTTGTCGTCCGAAGCAAGGTTCAGATTCAAGTTGATCTACCCGCTAAAATTTGAAATAACATTGAAAGTAGTTGAAATCTACTTGAAATCATGTTTGTTGGTTGCTCTTAGTTGTACAGAAATGTGGATTAACAAAAATTATCGCCTCTGGCCCTTCTCTCCGTAGTTAAACGTTTTACCAATTTTTATGTCTAATTTGAAATGTTTTAAATAAATTTTTTCGTCGGGAGCAGCCAGTTAGTTTTTGTGTGATATTCAAAAGAAATAATAAACGAATATCCAAGCCCATAAACAAATAACAAATGATTTATTTGTACGATTGTTGCACATATTTCTTTATTATCTTCTCAAATCTTCTGCATTATAATAAAAAAATATCTGTCCCTTTTTTACGCCTTGCTCATTCAATCGTCTTTGCCATCCTTTCTCTGTCAAGTGTCATTTCTGCTCTGTTTGTCATCTCTTTTCCCTTTCTTACCGTTTTCTCTCAGTCACATCGTAGCGCTCTGTTCATACTCTTTTATACGTTCCATTCTTACAAATCCTACATAAAAATATGTTTCGTAAAAGAGGACGATTCAAATTGAACAAAATGTCTACCCTAAATTATTCACTAAATGTCGTAAATAAGTGCATATTATATGGATTATTAAAAAAATATGCACATTAATATTACAACCATGACATAATTCAAGACAGTATTGATCAAATGACCATAAAGTGTAAGGTATTTGTAATGCTTACTTAAATTAATAATATAACACATTCCTCGTGTAAAGTTAAAGCGTCATAAAATAATGAAGTTATATCAACGAAATATCAACCGTCCACGTAAGCACAATTGAAATAAAAAACCTTAATAATGTCGATATTATGTTGAATTTAATATGATAATTTTATTAGTCTGAATAAATTTAATTAAGGTCAAATTATTTTCCATAAAAAATACGTACGTATTACGCATCTACCTAATCTAATTTACATGCGACCTTCGGATTACCCAATGTCTGCATAATTTAGAAAATAAAATGGTTGCAGAACCAGCTAATCCGTGTCTAGAAATAAGCGATTACTATATGTTATAGGTTCTGTATAGATTTATACGTGTCACGTTCTAGTTTCAGTACGATGTTCCCTTTTTGACGTGATAACATAGTGCAGCCATTATTTTGATGAGTTAATATTACACAAACAAATAGATTTATAATTTTAAAACATAGACGCTTTATCAGAACTCCCAATACTTCCAATACGCTGTACATTCGAGTTGCAGTGGTTATTTTCAATTCGCACAAAACCTTGTAGTATTGTCATGCTCTGAATAGCACGAGTTTGGTTTCAAAATTGTTCGTTATAAGCATTTAAAAATGAATATTATCACAAAACTGTTCTATACTATTCAGTAATACCGTACAAACATTATGTTCACTAAACTGCTGACCTTACATCTATATAAATCGTTAAATATATGTACATATAAACATTGACCATATATTTGAGCGCTAACATTTTCTAAATCTCCAGAAAGATATTACAAATTAACATTTACAAAATTCTTCCTAATATCTCGATGGGGCTTACTAATAACCTTTAACGATCACATATATTTTAGTCAAAGCTTCACAATTGCAATGAATTCATGGGAAAGGCTTCATTAGAATTAACAAAAAACTTTCAAGCCTTCAAGTTAGTCTTGTTTGTTTGTAGAACTTTAAAATGTATTATAGATTCGCATGCTCGTAGTAGGCACCATGAACGGCGAGGAAGACGCCATCGTCAACGCAGACATAACCAACAGCCTCACAGCAATGTACCAGAGCAACCCTCAAACTCTGTACCGTTCCACGAACGCGAATTCGGTAAAATAATTCATAAACAAAAATTCACAAATCAGACCAAAGTTCACTTTCCGCCGAACGAAACCAATTTATGAAACTTTCCATATTTATGTGATATTTTATTCTAAATTCTTAACGTTTTATAGTAATATTACGATTTACAGTGGAAAATAAAATGGGATTACCGCCACCATATGAACAATCGGTACCGAATCCAGCTCCGCCTCCTTCGTACTTTGGCAACAATCCACCACCGCCTGCTGGTTTCGTTGCTCCCGAAGCACCTCCGCGTACTACAGTGATAACATCACCCCAAGCACCGGCAGGGCCACCAGGAAAGCTAGGCCCAGGGCCAACGGGCACTACGTGTCAAACGTGCAACAAAACAGTAGTCACCAGAGTGGACTATGTTCCAAATAACAGAACACACATTATATCGGCAGCTCTCTGTATTTTAGCTGGGTAAGTCTGGTATTCTCAAGTTTCACCTATCTTCCTTTATTTTCACCAAATAGTAGATATAAACCCATTATACTAAAGGTTAATTTTTAGAAGTTTATAAGAATGTGTTACCAAATCGCAACTGTTACCCTACAGTCATTGTGAATACGTATATTGTTTTCTACACTAGAGAATTGTGCTTTATATTTGGAACAAATATTAATTGATAAAGTGAAAACTTTGATGCAACCGATCCGTAAGGTATCGTTTCATGCTTCGAAAGACATGCAAAAAGTATCATTTCTCAGAGGCAGTCATTGACCCGTTCACGTCAAAGACCGACTTTATAGCTCCTCCGCAATAAGGGGACTCTTCTCAGACCGGTTTTGCTATTACTAGAATCATCTACTTCGTATTTTAAATCAGAACTTTGATTAATGATATCTCGGTCATTATTTTCTCGCATAAGAAAGCAAAAAAAAACAAGCAAAAACGTTTTATTTGAGATTATTTCGAACTATATTTAGCTCATTGAAACTTCTTCCGATGTGAGAGAAATGCAAAATGTGAGAGTAAATTAAAAATACTATCAGAATAACGCGGATAAAACAAGACGTGAGCTTGTATTTCATCCTGGAGTTCAAATTAGGTCTGCAATGAACTTTCCTCGACAGAATATTCTGTGTGGCATAGCACATGTTATTCGTCAAACGAAGTTCAAAATTAACTTCTCGGTAAGTAGCAACTTTGCTGCGCCACCATTATTGTCAACGGTAATCTGCAATGATAACCGGTAACGAAATGGCAATAAATAAAACAATTAATCCAAGTCTTTGTTTGTGAGTACAAATTCGGTGCAGGTGTAATGTCAAGATGTAGGGATGAGAAAATAGTTACACGCCGTGGAAACATGTATCAAGAATTAGTGATGCACAATGTGCACACAGAGATGCACACATGGAACAACCATTTTATTTTATTTTATTGCTTGCATGGATGGACGAGCTCACAGCCACAGCCCACCTGGTGTTAAGTGGTTACTGGAGCCCATAGACAACTACAACGTAAATGCGCCACCATCCTTGAGATATAAGTTCTATACAGTATAGTTACAACGGACGCCCCACCCTTCAAACCGAAAAGCGTTACTGCTTCACGGCAGAAATAGGCAGGGCGGTGGTACCTACCCGTGCGAACTCACAAGAGGTCCTACCACCAGTAATTACGCAAATTATAATTTTGCGGGTTTGATTTTTATTACACGATGTTATTCCTTCACCGTGGAAGTCAATCGTGAACATTTGTCAAGTATGTATTTCATTAGAAATACTTGGTACCCGCCTGTGAAATTCGAACACCGTTGCATCGCTAGATACGAATGAACCGGATGTCTTATCCTTTAGGCCACGACGACCATTTATTCCTAACCCAACAAAAAAAAAACAATAATTTCATAAAACGCCTAAACAAGAACAAAATAAAATGAACCTTAATATTTACAAACCGACTAATATTCATTCTTTATTTTAGCCTAGATAAACATACAACATTTTCTAGATTTTCTAATTTTGATTATTTTCAGATGCTGTTGCGGGTGTTTCGTTCCGTATTGCATGAGATCGTGTAAAACAGCCAATCATTACTGTCCTCAATGTAAAGCATTCGTCGGTGCTTTCACTCCATCTTAGATTTATTTGTCAAAAAATATTCCTAGATCATTATTCCGTAACACTTGTAAACTAGTTAAATATTTTCATATTGTCCTCGAAATACAAGTTAATTTTTGTAGGATTTTGATCTCGTTGATTTGAAAATAAAAGTTTTAAAGGTACGTTGTTAAAAACAAACAAGCTACTAAAGTTTGGCGGATGTTTTTCTTCATTTCCAATATCATCGTAAATAAGTTGGGTGCAAATTAACTTTATGCAAATGTAATTTAGGAATATGTATTTTAATTTTCGCACGTACACGTATAGCAAGGCGTGCTGTGAAGTACGACAATAACCTAAGAGCAGACTTTTGAGTGATCTACACTGGCAAAAGTATCAAATTCCGTGACCGAATTTTTTTCTTTCAAGTTTAAAACAAAATAATTTTCGGGAACATGTCAAGTAACGAATATTACATGAAATGAATGAAATGAATATTACAACACTACTATTTAACAGTGAGGTCCTCATATAGCCAATTAAATTTTATTCTATTATTTAATGCGTGGTTATGAATTATCATTATTGTAGCGGTCGAATTTTATTTTATTTAAAAGTAAGTAAATTATACCTTAGCCTTTAATGGTTGGTTGGTTGGTTGGTTGGTTCAACGAAGAGGGAATTAATTGAAATAAGAATAAAATTAATGTAACATTATAATAATCCATTAGTTAAGTGTTTGTTTATTATCTGTGATACTATTTCTCAGACAATGTAATTTTGTAACTGTCATTTTAAATAGAATTTTTAGATTTATACAGAATAAATACATTTGTTTAAAATGCAGCGTAAATTTATTTATCTTCTACTTTTTTGTTTATAGAACGTGCATTAAAGCCGTTTGTTTGCAAACAAAAAATGATTACTGATACAACAGCCAAAACTGCTAATGAAATATAGTTTTATTAATGTATAGAAAGAGCTAACTTAACGCGTGGTTTGTAGACATGCTGAAAGGAAGGCCTTACCTAAAACAGAACCTTACCTAACACAAAAAATCTCATACTTCAGTTTATGTATATATATAGTATATAGACGAGATATACTTGTCGTTTAACTTCTATATATTTTGAAATATAATCAATCGATAATTTTTTGCAATCAGACATCAAACCTAATATATTTTATTACCAAAGCGTAAGGCTTAAAATGGAAACTCACCGGCTAAATAAGACTGCACACTCGACTTTCTTTTGACTATGACGTGGGTCGATACTGGGTCCGTTACTCACCAACATTTCTAAATAATGACGTAACAGCAGTATGTATGTTTATTGAACAAAATAACGGCAAAAAAATGATCACATCGTTGTCAGTACTTAATTTCCAAAAAATAATAATTAAATAAATACAATCAAGGCTATGTATGATATTGCAGTAGGTAGCGGCTTGACTGTGCCCCTAGCATCGTTAATGTCAATGAGCTGCGGCGATTACTTACCATCAAGTTTTATTATTCCTTACTTTTTTTTATTGCTTAGGTCGGTGGACGAGCTCACGGCCCAGCTGGTGTTAAGTGGTTACTGGAGCCCATAGACATCCACAACGTAAGTGCCACCCCCACTTGAGATGTGCGTTCTAAGGACTATAGTACAACAGCTGCCCCACTCTTCAAACCGAAACGCATTACTGTAATTACCAGTCGTAGCCAATGCTCCACAGGAGAGGACCAAGAACTGATCCTTGCGGAACACAGCGCTCGACGAGAAAGCGGAGCACTGCTCCACGGAATAGATAAATAAGGTTGGAAAGGCCTTTGCTCTAATTTTGTATTAGAACCAGTGTCACAGCTTCATCCCCACTATTTTAATTTCTACACATACACACACTGTGATTACAAGTATTTCGCACACAACAAAAACACCCACACATAAATCTCAGGACAAATATTCGTTCGCAAACTAGCACAAAACACCCGTAGGCATACACACTCACACACGCAAAAAGGCAATAAAAATGTTCATACACGCTAGTGCTTGATAAAATCGATATTCTTTATCGATAAATTATCTGATGAATGAATGGAGAAAATGAAACATGAAATAAATATTGAAAAAAAAACGATTTTACTTTTATTAATTACAAATAGTCACTGTCGCTGGAATAAAACGTATTTGTTAAGCAGTTGGCGCTTGCTATTAATTGCGAATGAATTTTTCAAAACTAAGTGTATTGATTTTTTTTATGGTAAAATCATTTTCATTAAAATGTTTAGAGCAAATAGTACTCGTCTTTGTCTCCAGTTTCCTCTACCTGTCACGTCAATCCATTGTTCCCTGGCGTTAGGTTCTTTAGGAAACCTAAAATTTTTAATTTACTGCATAAGTCAAATAGCATTTTACTTAGATTTTAATACGTCTTAGACAATATAGTAAATACCCGTAAATGAGAGGTCTACATGTCCCTTTATATTATACCTTCACTTTAATTCAATGATAATAATTCAATAATAATAATACATATTTATTTTACTCAAAATACGTCTCACTAAGAATATACTAGGTATCATTAATTAAATATAAAATAATGCAAAAATTATCCATGTCAAATGTAAATATAGTCGAGAATTCTGTCGATGATTTTATTTCACCACATGGTCACCTCACTATCGACAAACTAGCGCCGTGCACCACGGCCAATCAGGGCAAAGGCCGAAATTTCAAAGATTGAAGTGTAGAGAACGCAATGCATGTAGTACATTGGAAGCTGACTTGGTCATTGCGTTCATTGGGCGAGTACACATCGCGCAATGTATGCTATTTATAACTTGCTGCAATAATATTGTTAATGTTTGGAATTTCATAATGCTCAGTATATTTTTATGTTTTAGACAAATAATATTGTAATTAAATGGTAATTTCGACTTACCGATCGAAAGATATACCTCCTCGCTCTATACTTGAGGTCTGATTTTTTGTTTTACAAGTTATAATTGCACAACACGGCACTATAAAGCGGAGATCTGTTCGCCAAAGTAGTCCGAAGCGCACTAAACGCGGTGAATGAAAGAATCGGTCGAGTTATGTTTGTACAATCATAACTGTGGCACGCTTGCCCCGCCTACATTACCATTCCAACCTTATTTATCTATTCCGTGCACTGCTCCACCGTGTCCAGTGCACACCACCGACCTGTCTCCGCTATCGGTGCTGACTATCAGTGATTCAACCATTGAAATATGGATCCTCTACTGTCGCATTCGGTAATTACGTCTTCGTGGCCTAAAGGATAAGACGTCCGGTGCATAATTTGTATCGAGCGATGCAACGGTGTTCGAATCCCGCAGGCAAGTGCAATTTTTCTAATGAAATACGTACTTAATAAATGTTCACGATTTACTTTCACTGTTTTTTATAATTGCATTGATAATTGAGATCTCAATAGGATTGAGCGAATGACTGCTCTATTCCTTAAACAGGAACCCATGAAATCACAGAACCAAACACCACCTAACCTGTGCATTATCGAGCTAATATACCAAGGAGGTCGTAACCGCAAGTTTTTAAGCTTGGACGCGTTCGTCCTTAAAATAACACGCGTGATTAAGGAATTCATATTTAAAATTAACGATCCTTTTTGTTACATAATGCAGTTTCAGGCCACAAGGACAAAAGTACAAAAATTGAAACAAACAAATTATGTATAATGATTTGCTGACAAATGTCACCAGTGCATGTCAAGTTTATTAAACTCAATAGGGCTAAACAATAATTTTGAAATAAATTAAAAGTATTCGATTATAGACATAAAATTGTTAAATAACTCTCGTTCTTTCATAGACACCCAGGAATTTATGACAATTCGGACAATTATGCTCCACGTTTTTCCAACGTTTCGTTGTATACGGAATTATACAGCAACACAGCCACCTGCAAGATAAATACAATGGTAATCAACAACATGTGATATTATGTTGTGTCTTGAATAAATTTGGAGCTCAGTCGTACTAGCTTTCTTTGAATAGCCCCTAAAATACACCATAATATTGTATAAAAACGAATTTCCATAACGCCATAAATTGATAATATTATGTAGTATGTCTGCCTATTTTCAGAACATTAGGTCATGCAGCATCTGTCGTCTGCCATATTAGAGTAAAAAAGAAAAGAATCCCCGCAGGGGCTATATAAATATGCCCATATACTACTATTTTTCTTCTTGTTTCTAGAAATATACTTCCATATATGGCATAAGTTTGCAACATATCCGATTGTAATGTGCAACTCATGGTTTAAATGCACCAAACCCAACCAAGATAAATCATTTATTCGAACAACTTGAATCATTCATATTAACAAAAAAAAACACATAAATTACATTTTACATTGGATTGATGGGATGACGTAGGCGAACGATGTTACATCAATCCCATTCAATTTTGTACTTTAATGAACCTTATGGTTCGTAGCTTGCACTTGGGCTAGGCTCCCAGCATTCTTTAGATACCATAGAGTACGTACCAGAACAATACACCCAGCACTGCAGCAACGATATGAGTGATGGTCGAATTTTTGTAAATAGCCCTCGTCATTATGTCTTCTTGGCAATAAGGGCACCTCATGCCTACAGGCTCCGAGCCTACTTGTAGAAGATCCATTTCAATGCATACTGAATTATCCGTGCTTTGATTTATTTGCTGGTATGCTCTTGTGTCCACTAAAATTAATTTATATTTTAATGAAAAAGCGCCGAGCGCTGTGTTAATGTTACGAATATTGAAACTCAAATGTACCAAAAAATTTTTTGGTTATACATAATTAAAGCAATTTCTTTCTTTTCACTGTACGTTTTACCACGTGAGTAAATACTTTAAATTTATCAACGACAAGTGTTTTGTTCCCGTCAATTCAATTGCAAAATAAACACTTGAAAGTTTTGAAATGAATTGTTAAACTACGAGATTCAAAAGAAGCTTATTTTGTGTTTAATGGAAGTATTTATGGAGCGAGCAAACGACGAAATAAATATTTATGTCAATTTCTTTTCAAATAGATCTTCTTGTACAACCATAAATAAAGTAATAGATTAAGCTACCTCATCAGAAATAGATCTTTTTTTTATTGCCTTTGTAGGCAGACGAGCATACGGCCCACCTGATGGTGAGTGGTTACCGTCGCCCATGGACTTCAGCAATGCCAGGGGCAGAGCCAAGCCGCTGCCTACCGTTTAATACTCTCCACAAGCCTCGTTCGAAGAAGGACATGTCATAACGCTCGGGAAACACCGTGGAGGGGAGCTCATTCCGTAGCCGGATGGTACGTGGCAAAAAAGACCTCTGGAAACGCACTGTGGATGACCGCAGTGGCTCCAGGTAGTATGGATGAACTGTACTCCGGTGGCGGGCGGTGCGATGGTAAAAACGAGATGCCGGTATCATCTCGAACAATTCCTCAGAGCAATGGTGCAGTTCAACCATTATAATAATATCATCATCGTCAACCTCAATTAATTTAATAAACCAGGAGAATGCGGCTTAACTTTACATTGAAGACAACGAATAAAAATGGAAGGGGTTGATTTAAGAAAAGTAATATGTACATGAGAATTCTGTTGGTATGCTACTACAAATAGCTTAAATCTTAGTTCCGAGACCTTGTGCCTCAACTATAGAGGACTACTTGGCTAAAGTTATGTTGGGCCAACGATCGAAATTCGACCATAAGTAGGTAATGACTTCAATGATTTAAATTCATTTTTCGTATTCTCTTTTGGTTGTTAGTGGCAATTTAAAAATAAACTTGATTATTTTAAATAAATGTATATTGATCATCCTATTGAGACTGAGAAAGTGGGTGGACTGAACTATGAATAATTTGATAACGCTAAATCCTGTCGATGGCTATTATACAACAACAAAAACAACAATCGATTGACAAACTGAGGAGAAAATAGTTTTTTTTTATGAGTGAGGGATTATAGAAAATATTATTTAACTATATATTCTATTTGTCCATTCATAAGATCAGGTTCGGAAGTCGTTTTTAATTTTTTAACTCCTGTTGAAGTGTTAATTTATTGTTACTTCTTCTTCCTTAAAAAATACACGATATTGTATATGAAAACATTTCGAACTCGATGATTCCTAGCGCAAAAATACGAAAATAATATATACATAACATGTACTACACATTTACATGTAACTATGTATAAACAAATTTTACGCTCAAGGTAACACAATTGAAAATAATATTTATATCGCGAGTAAGCAATAAAAATAATATTTCACCGCATTGGGAGAACGGTACCTGTTCGTTGTTAGTCTAAGGAGCTATTCCTACGCTATGCTGTAAGTGAGCTCACGGAGCTCAACATGAAATAGTTTGCTAGCACTGGCCTTAGCAAGAGCAGTGCTTCGCAGAATCTACCACCGAATCATTGTTTTGTGGGAAAGTTACGTCTCGTATTGATACCTTCACTTCGGGAAAGTTCTTTTACACCCCGTATAATATTGAAAAAAAGTAGACTAATGGACTAAAAAAAAGACTTATCTTCTTATATCGTAAGCGCAGAATAAATACATTAAAATCATATCTCTGCCATGGAAAACACATATTGCGAAATACATGTGTATGTATTTAACAACGACAACAAGCAACCAAAAGAATGCATTAGGCTTTTAAGAATGCATTAGGTATCACTGATTTTATGTTCTTTGCTCGTCAGTGTAAATGTCGTTAATATTAATAACATGATGATAATTTTTCATAATAAAGATAAACAAACTTTTGGGTATTGTGGCCTTAAGTTAACCCGAAGCTATAGACACAACATGTATGCGATATCTCGGTTTTGATTTGAAATCAGTCTCCACAGTCTTGCAATAAATTGGCTGCCCTATCCTTGAAACGGGAGAACCTGACTAGTTCATGATAGAAACGGTTAGGATAATGGTACCGACCTATAAGGGCTCAACGAATCTAACAAATTACAATAATAAGAAAACATTCGATTCACTGTACTTATATTTGTCATTGGTAATTCAATAAGAACGGCGTGCAGAATAAATAACTTAGGCTTAATTTTATTATTTATTTTATATATTCCAGATTCTTATATTTTTGCAACGTCAACCTATAACATTCAGATGAGAAACATTTATAATACTTACTTTTGATTATTGAAGATTACAGAATTCCTGAGCGCGTGTGCGTTAGGCGGCACTGTCAATACCTACTAATTTAACGAGCACTCACGGTAAAATCAATTATCGCTGTGTTTATTATTATTCGAAACGTAAAAAGTATTCATTCACTCTTTTTTTCAATGTTAATTTTTTTTCTCCTTTTATAGGTGTCTTCTTTTTATGAGAGCATTTAAAAATGCAATAACAATGAAACAGTTATATCCATCGGTTATCGAGGTGATAACATTTCTAAGTGGAGCATGTAGGTCGTAATACTGCCATACATGTGTGTACTTATTTAGTACATTTATAGATTGATAATAAATCATTATCATATCATTTGCAGATACAAGAGACTTGCGTATTCACTATTAGTCAATAGAACTATTACTTTGAATTCGAAAACAGTTTGACTTTTCGTATAACTTTAATTATTGAAGTTTTTGTATAAAATCAACTTATAAAAATTAATAATTTTATAATTTGATAAAGCAATATAACGCGAATGTAATATGTTGATAATAGAAAACAACGACAATCAACAAACATCTTTTTTTCAAAATTTACATTAAGATTTGTTTAATCAACGTGAAATTGACTTTTTTTTAATTGACATAGTGTTATTGAAATAGTTTATGTTCTCATCTTTCTTTAAACACGATCAGATAATCAGGACCATCGAGGCGACTTTCCGCCAATGTAAGAAGCACTTCTAGCCCGGTTAGGACTTGCGGTAGGCAGCGGCTTAGCTCTGTCCTTTTTTTAGGATTGAAGGATTACTGGTGGCCCGGAGGCCTTTCCAGTTTCACCAGGACACGTGGGCGAGCAAAGGCTCAGCCAGGAGGGGTGGGATTTGCTAACAGCTGCCCGAGCGCCTCCGAAGGAGACCTAACAACTCAAGAGCAGCTGCTTCGCGAATGTACCGGATTGGAATCGCGACCCGCTGAAAAGATCCGGCGAGAAACTCAGCGAGCTGATTCATGGGTTAGGTTGCACGTCGAACTCTTTGTCAAGTTCGATGAGTACCGTTATCGAGGTCCCTAACCCTGCTCCTAGTGTTAGAGCTGAAGGCGTCTAATGCAAAGGTAATTGGATTTGATGGATCCGTAAGGACGTGTCTAGGGTGTCGACGGTGACTGGCTCCTGCGTGATCAGGATTCGGGGAGTGGTCAGCAGCGGCAACGATAAGGCGATTATCATGATGCATAGCCTTAATCTCTGCCCCTGGCATTGCTGACGTTCATAGGCTACGGCAGCCACTCACCATCAGGTATTACCACCTACTATCACCATCAGGCTCACATCACTATCAGGGTCGTCTACCTACAAGTGCAATTAAAAAAATTATTTAAATCCGTCTCAGGTTCGTGATGGCTATGACTGTGATTGTAGTTTATTAAATTTCAAGCGTCCGAAAAAATCTAAAACTTTGAAAATGCGTTGTAACACAATATCCCTTATCCTGACCGCCACAAATTACATATCCGACTCAAACGAGGTTGCAACGCAAAGCCGCCGTCAATACATGTCTTGTCCTGTTAGCAAATCCCGACTCTCCTAGCTGAGCCCTACTCGCCCACCTGTCCTTGTGAAACTGGAAAGGCCTTTGGGCTACAAGTAATCACTCAATCACAAAAAAAAACATATTTTGTCAGATGCCCCGGATGCCTCTGGGTGCTTTTAAGCTCTTCAAGTACTGGTCACCGTCCTCGTCGAACTCGTCCAATACTCAAGTTACTCCAATACTCCAAACTAGCCCATAGACACAGTCCACGAGGTTTCTCGCCGGATCTTATCAATGAGTCGGGAAACCGACCTGGTGGCAAATTCAGCGAAGCACTGCTTTGGCTGGAGCTAATGCTAGCAACTCGCTCAGGTTAAGCCTGCGAGTTCCGTGACCTACTAGTCAATGAGTAGCTGAAATAGTCCCATAAGCTACCAGCGAACAGGCAGGAATTTTCGATGTGAAACCTCTTTGCGTGCATATCGATATTTTTTTACGGATTAAACGCCATAACAATAATATTAGTGACAAATGTGAGATATTTTTGTCCAAGAAGAGGGAGAAAGCGAGTGAGAAAGATCGAGACCGATTGAAAGAGAGTGAGAAGAACGAACCTAGCATCATGCACAGTGCCATGGAGTGAAAGGAGGGAGAGAGGGGAACTTTAAATGGTAATTTTGTCGCATAACGTTTTGTACTACAGTAACAGCCTGGCCACGGGACATTCGCCGATGCGAATATTCGCGCGGTGCGAACGGCGAAGCGTCTAGCGACTAAAACAAGCGCATAGAAATGTACCTAACAAGCCACGCGCACCGGCGACCGGCGAAGCGACCGGCGAAATGTACCGAGCGAATCGCGCGATGCGGCGGGCGAGCAAAACAAATGCATGAATACGGACGGCGCGAGCCACGGAGTCGAGCGGTAGTCGCGGCGAATAGTGCAGTGATTAAATGAGTTTAGTTGTTTTCGCCGCGAAAAATTAACGCCGAAATTTTTATATTTTTTATTTATTTTTTATTTTATATTTTTAAAGTCGTCGTGGCCTAACGGACGTCCGGTGCAATCGTGTTGAGCGATGCACCGGTGTTCGAATATCAGGCGGGTACCAATTTTTGTAATGAAATACGTACTCAACAACACTCAACGTTCACGATTGATTTCCACGGTGAAGGAATAACATCGTGTGATAAAAATGAAATCTTCAAAATAATAATTTGCGTAATTACTGGTGGTAGGACCTCTTGTGAGTCTACACGGGTGGGTACTACCACCCTGCCTATTTCTGCCGTGAAGTAGTAATGCGTTTCGGTTTGAAGGGTGAGGCAGCCATTATAACTATACTTGAGACCTTAGAACTTATATCTCAAGGTGGGTGGCGCATTTACGTTGTGGATGTCTATGGGCTCCAGTAACCACTTAACACAAGGTGGGCTGTGAGCTCGTCCACCCATCTAAGCAATAAAAAAATAAAATAGCTGAAATACTAGCTAGACCAGCTATTTGGAAGTCTAGCCACCCAAAGTATTTCTCGTACTTCTTGTGGAATTCTCCATCTATAGGTATACTCCGATTCTTATTCAAATCATGTACTTCACAATCTTTTCCAAATAATAGGTCCTGAACCAAAAAACTATTAATTTGTAAGCAATATCGAGATAATTTCGATATAGACATTTCGCTGTCGGACTTCCTTACTAGTCGCGGCGGCGAACGTGAGTACCCGTGGCCTGCAAACGGTGCTGCGCGAATGGTCGCCTCGCCCACCGCTTCGCTGTTCGCACCGCCGATCCCCGTGGCCAGGCCGTAAATGAAGATATTTTTTATTTATTTACATTGTCATTAGTATGTATACGGTGTATAAACAGTAAGGTAAACTAGTAAATAAACACTTTGTGATAAATTTGTAAATCGTCTTAAACTAAGCAATTGTTCAGAGTAATATATTTGTTATCTTTTTGTTAATTTACAATGTTTTATCGTAGTTCTTTTGAAGGTTAACAAATTTAATATTGACGTCCTTCGATCAACAACACTATTGTTGATCGAAGTTGACGTCTTAAGCTTTAGATTAGTATAAATATAAACGAGATTTAAAAATTAGTTTGCCAAAGAAGTTTCACTCCTGACATGTTTACTTTGTACGCATGCACTTGTTTTCTACCGGTTTACTTCTTTGGAGAAAGTAAGACTATCAATGCGTGGCGTAGCAATTTATTTATCTGTATCTGTATTTCTTATCTGTATGGATACAGCTGTCCTTTCAAAGCCTCATTTTTTTTATTCAGTTGATTACAATTTTGGTAGCCCTAATAATAGAAGTAAAATGATATTAATAACTGTGATTAGGATACCTACACCAAAATTGCAGAGATAGAAGAAACACACAAAAACCTACCATTATATGTTAATGGTCAAGAAACTGTTTTTCCGAGGTAAAATCACAACATATTACTTACATTTTAATTTAATGAACTATCTAGATCTTTCAAACTAAAGTGTATCTCGGTCTTATGTAAAGTAATGGATCCGTATCTAAATTCAGCCATTTATTGTTTAATTTCATTGAAGAGAGGCGATCTCACAGTAAAGGGCTACTATTACTCGTGTATGAAAATCAAACCCCTGCCTGTAATGAAAAACATGCTTGCCAGGGAAACGCCAAAGATTCAAGAAATATCCAGGAGGATTTCCAAATCAGGATGAAAACTGAAAAGAGCTAATTTCGTCCTTGCTAAAATACCTACGTATTTTGAGGAAAAAACTCATATAAAACGAAACGAAAAATATCCATAAAGTCTTACAGTGCCAATAAAGAAAAAGGCTGTAAGCATGGTGTTGACATTATATTGTTTTAATTGTAAATTTAACGTTTTTGCACATACATATTAAATGTAAGGTAAAAATAATAAAATAAAAAGTACACAAGATGAAGAAAAATAATTCAATTCAATAAGTTAATTGAAAGTCTAGACTATTTTCCATCATTTAATGATACATTATTTTTTCATCTCACCTTATCTCTATCTCTATTTACCTTTAGTTTCGCCGCAAGAAGCTTACTTAAAAGCAATAATGTGGGGATGTAGTTTAATTTACTTAGTAAAACGCCTTTAAAAAAGAAATGACTGTATGGTTATGCCCCTTTGCCTAGCCAATTCCACCTAATAAAAAAAACACACACAACCTCAAAACAAAACAAAAAATATTTGTGACAACAAATAAAATAGTATGTAATGAATGACAATTTATATAAATTCAGTGGTATAAAAAAAGCGATTTTTTTAAGGTTGTTAAGAAATCGTAACAATGGATGTAGATCTGTTAAGACCCGGCACTGTGCCCATTTCACCTGACACTATATTATGGTTCGAGTTTCTCTTACATCCAGAACTGCTAAAGAATCATCTCAGCAAACCTAACCCAGGTTAGTACAAAGACAGAAAAATATATTAAGCACTCCGAACTGGTTATGACTTTTGTACTGATAAACTAAAAGTGAATATAGAATAAGAAATAACTTTACAATATTTTATTGGCTATTTACTTAGAGACATTTTGTATTTACTTGTACTTAGGTGATACTAATGTTAGACTCCTAATATGACATTTGATCATATTCCAATATTTTTAAAAACGCTTTAAACAATATTTTAATCATACTAGATTGGTTTACTTAGTTTAATGGAAAGCTTTAAAGATATCTCAAACTACACCTCTACAAACACCATTTTCTTTCAGAGCCATCAGCATGTGAACTTATAGAGGAATTTTTGTCAGTTGACTCCAAGGGTGCAAACTCGAAGCCTACTAGTGAACGAATACCAGATACTGATGCTCCACCCACCCCACCATCGGCGATTTCATCTCCCATACAGTTTACTCGAAAACAACTGGCTTTGAAAATCCTTGGACTGAAAGTGGCAGCATCATTACATTGGAACCTAGGTACTGGAATGTCACGACTTGCAAATTATTGGACCACATTTATAGAAAAAAGCAATTACCAATGTGTTGGACAAAGTAGTAGTAGCTAGTAGACAAAACTTTAAAATTTATCAAAACTTCAATGCCAATTACATAGCATTGTTATTAAATTTTCAATGTATTTGTATACAGATACTTTGGAATTGAATCTAGCACCTCAAATACAGCACCAACTCATGCAAGACCTTGTTTACATGGCCACAGATGCAGGTTTTGCTGTACCGCCACAGGTATGTGTTAACTGATCCTAATGAAAAACAAATTTAGCTGATCAACAATTATAAAATCTGTTCTGTAAATGGAATGAAAGGCAACTCTTGTAATTTGAAAATGTTCCTAATTCTTATGATAATTGAAGTATGAAGAAATACATCACTTTTTATGATAAAACACGGCCTTCATTTTATCATTAATTCAGGCATACTTCAATATTTTTTTTATCATTATTGTAAAATTATTACAAGTTATAAAACTATTGCAATAATTCATTGGATCTAAATATAAAATGGTATTTTTCATTAAGTGAAATTGTTCTTAGTAGATATCACTGACACTAAGTAAATAAAATTAAAAGGGAACAATAATTATTTTCAGGAAATACCAACAGAGTTAATGCAAAAGCCACAAGTTATATTTGCATTAACTCTATACCACAGATGGACATTGAGATTCCCTGTGAAGGCGGCTTTGTATGCTAAATCATCAAAAATATACATGCACATGTAAGTTATTACAAATAATCCAAATGACAAGTAACTTTATTAAATTCCTTTATGGATACTGTAAATAATACAAGTTTGCTTGTCCTAAATACTAGTATCCTTAAGTCACGAAATATTAAGAAAATACTAAATTAAATTCAGCTAAAATGTACTTGTTTTTGATAGTTACTTTTGAGAGGGTTCCAAGCATAGTACCATCAAGGATAAGTGAGTACTTTTAAGAAATTTATTCCATATAATATTCTGCAGTAGTCACAACAAACAATAGATAGGATTTACTAGTTCAAGATAAAATATCAGTGATGACTATTGATTCATAGTATTCAAAACTCTAAATAATCGGGTAAAAAAGTACACATCTAATGATTTGTTTATTATGGAACTTTGTTCTAGGCCTGGAATGCAGACAGATGGTGGCTACCCTCCATTGAACCAAAATTTCGAAAAAATATTACGTATGTGTGAAGGAAATCGTACACATAGTATAAAATTTCTCGAAGAAGTTTTGTCCATGTACGAACTCACGTCAAATTCTAGCCGTAGAGAAACTAAAAAAATTAAAGTTCCGCCAATGGAGGCATTTATTCATCTCACTGAAGATTCTGATGAAGTAATACATAACTGGGATGCTGGAGACATTCTAATTACACAATTTGAATTAGCGATGCAAATACACTTTGATCTTTGTTACAATTATTTTTTCTATGGACAACATGATTTAGCAAAAAAACATATACTTGGATGCAGAGAAAATTCTAACCTATTAGAAAGAGAAGTGTCTATCTATGGATATGGTCCACACAAAGTTGTTCCTTGGGGTGAATTTTATTATGCTAGTATGACTAAAGATGATATTATTGGTTATATCAGAGCCCTGAACTTAGGTCAAGAAGTTTTAAATGAAGAAGCATCGTTATTACAAAAACTCCAAGAGTCTATAGCTAATCATTATACTGGCATCATTGCAGTTTTACAGGCTGATAATTTAGCTCGTGAAATTCCGATGATTCACAGACAAGTTGTTGAGTTGGATATACAAGGATCAGCGTCAAGTGGTGCATTCACAGTAGCCAGAGATCTCCTTAATCGGGTATCGGCTCTGAATGCAGTCAGATATGCTCTCGAAGGAGGTATACCCTCTACACATCCAGATTTCTTGAATAAATTCAAAACAGTTGGGATAAAGTTTTTCGATCTGCTCTTTTGGGCTCTTGGACCAGTATTACTATCAGATCTTTCTTCAGAAGACTGGCAACACTTACGAATGTTTTTCTTACATTTGATAACTTCTCAATGCAGACTTCCAATCGATAGAATAGATGAGTATATGAAAAAACATATTGGTGAAGCAGCAGGAAATATAAGAAAAAAACTGATTACCGATGAGCAACTTAGCATAATTCTGAATGATCCAATTAACAACGACGATGAAAACATGGACATTCCTCGGGAACTACTCACCGACGACTGGGAAACGCCTGATTTTGATTTCAAAACTGTCCCTGAATTGGACATGGGCAGATTAAAGAAACGTCTCATCGAAGCTTCGACGGCTGATGACGTGCGCATGTGTCTAGTGAAACTGGCAATGATGTCTCCTTCGTTGCCTTTGTGGAAGTTAAGCCCGTCGTGGAAACCAGCAGGTGTATTGGGAAATGCTTTGATGTCGCTTAACAGAGGATTTTTGCAAGATTTTGGCTATGTAGTGTCGGGTGCAGCGCGAGCTCGTGCCGAATCGGGATCTGCACGAACTGCGTTGTCTCTCTTGTCGGTGCTTGAAGGAGAAGCTCGTAGTCAACTAGGCGGTGGCACTGATCCAGTGCTGTATCGACTGTGCCGACAGTTATCGTGGGAAGTACTGCTGCTGCAAGTCAACGTGATGCTCTCCGAGTGGCCTCACCATAGACTCAACCTTACTGCACTGGCAAATAAATGCAAAGCATGCATTGCAGCGGCTAATTCTGGTGACGGTATCATACCACGACCACAGGTAACGATTTTTTAAATCTAATCGTATTTGTTCAATGTCTTTGCATTTAATAAAAAGTCCTTAATTTAAATCAGGTTTTAGAAGCGTGCTGGAGTTGTTTGGTTAATTCGTGCGAATGGGAAGGTCTGGGTGTAACCACAGGCCCTGGAGAATTAGCTTCCGCTCTTTGTGCGGCATGCTTTGAACTACAACGCGGTAAAGGCTCTAGAAAATTTCCAAGACCTCTATGGGACTACGGTATGTAAATTTAAGGCATGCTTAATCTGTTATGTCTTAACCTTTTTGTATTTTTTTAATTCATTATTTACTTATTTATTACGTTTCTATGTGAACGATTACATGTCCCATTTGGTATTAAGTGGTTACCGAAGCAGGACATCACCATACCGCCACCCACCTGGAGACATGAGAGGGAAGTCCTAATTGAATATTATAACGACTAGCCCACCCTACAAAACCAAGTACATGACTACTTCGTATCTTCAGCAGAGTAGTCAAGACGGGATACCTTTAGGGGCCCACAATGCCTCCTTTCACCACTAACTACATGAATAATATATCGACGCTTGAAAGGTAAACGTGACTAAGCGACAATGCGTGATCTTTACAGTAGATTAATTTAAAGTTGAAATACCTGAAAAAAAATTATATTTTAACGAATCTAGCTGTAGGATTGAAATGATTTTAATAGACCTAGAAATATATTTTTTTGCGCATCGAATATGGTTATTGCCTATCATTTATGCATTTTTTTTATTGCTCTTGTAGGCAGACGAGCATTCGGCCCACCTGATGGTGAGTGGTTACCGTCGCCCATGGACTTCAGCAATGCCAGGGGCAAAGCCAAGCCGCTGCCTACCACCTTATGTATAAAGCAGTTATTGTCGCTTAGTCACGTTTGCCTTTCAAGCGTCGAATTATGTTTATTTTAATTCTTTTCAGCGTTATCGGTGTACAGTAACGGCCCAAATATTTCAATGAAACGTAGCGCAGGAGGGATGTCCCATGCGCGTGAAATGATGAACGCGGCGGCTGAGTCGCGCAACGCCTTCAACGGCTTCCTGGCAACCCTGCGCGAGCCACTCGCGATCAGCATCATGATGTCGCTCTTGGCTAGAATACACAACCTGCTGATCGACGACAACTCGCTCGAACTGAACACCGAATACACGAGTTTATGGCCTTCTAGCGTTTCGAACATAAACAATTACAACATAAAATTCGTGTTAGAATCTCTAACCGATATGTTAGAGAGGAGCCTCAAATTATACCCCTACAATACTTCGTGGTGAGCGTTACTTTACTTTTAATTACTATACTACTAATACATTTAAAATATATATACCAATTGATTAAAGTAGTCTATAATTTTGAAATTTATTTAGAAATATGGAATGGAATATTTCAATTTCAATTTTCTGTTTATCATTCTATATTAAGAATTACTTTGCGGGAAAAAGATAAAGCAAGAGCGATGACTAAAAAAATTATAAAATAGCAAACTGTTTCCTAATAAAAGGGTTCAGTCATTGTATTATATATAACTAGCTGTACCCGTCCGCTTCGCTGGGCATTTAAGATTAACATTATTATTTCTCACCCCCACAAAGATTCTCATCATTCTCATCATTAACGCCCCCGCAACTGGTGTAGGGAGTCCAACACTGGTGCTTACTGGTGTTAGGACGTCTTGTGAGTCCGCGCGGGTGGGTACCACCACCCTGCCTATTTCTGCCGTGAAGCAGTAATGCGTTTCGGTTTGAAGGACGGGGAAGCCATTGTAACTATATTTGAGACCTCAGAGCCTATATCTCAAGGTGGGTGGCGCATTTACGTTGTAGTTATCTATGGGCTCCAGTAACCACTTAACGCCAGGTGGGCTGTGAGCTCGTACACCGTCTTAAGCCATAAAAAAAGTAAGCAACAATAAAACGTGATGGTGAGTAATCGCCGTAGCTCATTGACATCAACAATTGTAGGGGCACAATGAAGCCGCTACCTACTGCAATATCATAGTCTTTATTGTATTTATTAAATTATTATTTTTTGGAAATTGGCTCGTCCCCACCTAGGCAACAAAAAAAATTCAAGATGGGTAATCTCTAAATATCAATGAATACTGGAAATGACAGTTTCCGTAATGCCAGCACTGTTACTGCAGGCTGCGTCTGTACGGCGACGTGGAGATGGCGGGCGGGCGCTGGTCGGCGGCGCTGCGGCGCTACCTGTGCTCGCTGGCGGCCGGCTCCTGGTACTTCTCGAAGCGCGCCCCGGACGAGACGAGCGTGGCGCGGCGGGCGGCGCGCTGCTGCGTCGCGCTGTCGGCGCCCACGCAGGCCGCGGCGCTCTGCCAGCTGCCCGACGAACCCGACTACACCACCGCCTTCAAGTGCTTCGCCGAAAAGGTATCGTGATCTGAACACACTCCGTCTGGATACACGTCTCGAGTGAAGCGCTCACAAACTATTTATTTTACTTACTGTTACTGTGTATTTATATTATCTATACATATAAATAAAATTGGAGTATCTGTTTGTAATATTGAAATAACCGCTGTTTACTACATGCATATGAATATATATACAGTACATACACCAAAATAACATTTTTTACAATTTTTGTCTGTCTGTCTGTCTGTTTGTTCCGGCTAATCTCTGGAACAGCTGGACCGATTTTGACGAGACTCACTGATATAAGCTGATGATATAAGGAGTAACTTAGGCTACTTTTTTAGACTAGCTTCGCCCCGCGGCTTCACCCGCGGTACGATAATAGGAGGAGGAGGAGGATACACTTTATTGCACACCAAAACACAATTTACATTCAAAAAAACAATAAAAAAACAGATAAATTTGTACAATAGGCGGTCTTATCGCTAAAAGCGATCTCTTCCAGACAACCGTATAATTTATAGAAATTCTATAATAGATAATAACCGCGGGTAACATCGTGGGACTCAGCTATATCATATAAGATGCGCGGAAATCGTTCTTGATAACACTACCAAACTGTGTTAGTACTGTGCCACAGAGTAATAAATCTAAATATAAATAGTCAAAGAATAATCAATTCAGTACCTTTTTCCGTTTGTTTAAGAGCTATTAAGGTTATATCAATAATGAAACAAAATAAAAAATTAATACATAAAGGATAATGCCCATTTTCTTAGGGCGTTTGGGCCCCTAAAAAAAGTTGTCGGTTCATGATGGTTTTAACTTAATTTGATAGACAAAGAAATATCTTTTCATATTCAGAAAATGATTTTTATTTTCTCACCCAGGTTTAAGAGAAATCTGTTTTTTTCTGCAGCTAAAATTAAGTTGTGAATTGTTTGCTTCGAAATCAATAATCGTTCACATAATTAGTTACAGTGTTAAATAAGTTAATTGTGGTTAATTTTGCTAGAAATAAACCCTTATGTACATTTTATTATTATTATATCCTCATAATAATAATCAAATGAAAGTGGTTTTTGAGAATAGACTTCATTTACCCTTCTTTCGGAAATGAAAATTCGGAAGCCGGCAATGATATTGTTGTTGTTGTTTTTAAATTCGCCAATCGGCAGGCAAAGAGCGAAGCCTTACAGCCTAGTCAGTCGTAGTTATATTATTTTCATGTCAATAAAAAGCTGGCGTATCTCTTTTTAAGAGTTTTGACGTCAACTCGACGAATAGCTCATTGACTGAGCATGAGTTTCCGCAGTTTCCTTTTATCTTGAAAAAAAAACAGTCACTGCTATGTTAGCCACAGTTTTATTCCAATCCCTCAATAATCGTGAACAACGATTATTGACGTTTAATACACAAAACAACACCCATTTTATATTATATTATATAATACATCACAATAAACTTTTTTTTTTAATTTTTTGTTCAAGTCGCAGACAATTCTTTCGTTTGGCAGCATTTAGGTTTACTGTAAGGCTGTATGGGCTAAGCCCTTTGTCTGTCTGTTGGCGAATTTCAAAACTATGAATGATGGAAGTAATCAGTTTTCGGATGTTATCAAATAAGTAATTTATTTTTTTGTAAAACAATGCCAGGGTGTAAGAAATGTTGATACATAAACTAAACAACGTGAAAAATAAAGCATAGTTTTTCAAGTACAAATAGTTTTGACACAAAGTTGGCCCACTTTTGGGCATTGTCCTTTGAAGTATTAGATTATTGTCGAATTTCTAGACCATTCGCCGAACCCTATTCATATGAAATAGATGTGGTGAATTGTGAAAATAAATTTTCAGATTTGATTGAAACTTTTCGATGATGTTGAAATTTTCAGACTGGCAACGCTGCGGACGCTATGGACGGTTATTACGGTTGTCTATGGGACGGCACTCTACTAGAGGTGGCGGTCGCTTTACACGCCCGACGCGGAGAAGGCGGACGCAGACAGAGAGCGGTGAAGGCGGCCGGTGCCCTCGAACTCAACGCCAACAACAGCGAAGACATACAAAGAGAGGCGGCAGCCACAAGAAGAGCACGACTACTGCGCGCCCTCACCAATCAATATGTCGCATAAATATAATAAAAACTTCAAAGATTGACTTGTGTTTTATTGTGTTACTAGGCAGCGGCTTGGCTCTGCCCCTGGCATTGTTGAAGTCCAGGGGCGACAGTAACCATTCACCATCAGGTAGGCTGTATAGTCATATGTCTACAAGGTCAATAAAAAAAAACATACCCCCATGTTAAATGTAATTAATTGTGAATATAATAAATATAATTCCATGTCACTCTATGGCTCATAAACTACTAGTCGATTTGTAGATCCGTTCATAGGCAAAAAATCACAAATCTGCTATTTTCAACCCCAAATACGCGTTGTCGGCAAGGTAAAACCTATTCTATGTGTTAATCCAGGTCATAGACTATCCGCAAAATTTCCTTTAAATCTGCTTAGCCATTTTCGCGGGTATGATTAAGAAATACCTACACATTTGTGATATTAGGTTCAAGAATGGTTTGGAATCAATACCTGTGCCATCAGTCAGTATTAATTTTAATTATTTTTTGCAGCAGCAAACGGAACAGCATAAATTAAGTAAATTATAATAATGTAAAACGCTCAAGTGTACAATATTTTTATTTGATTTATAGAAAGATACTTTTTGAACAATTACCTCTCGTAAGTTCCGATGTATTTATGGCAGTTTGGACAAAAATGGTCCACGTTTTTACATGTATCCGACGCATACGGCATGCAACAAAGGCAACTGAAAAAAAACAGCAAATGTATTTTAAAGTTACTTTATGTAAAGCTAGTGTGTAATTTATATACTATCAAATATTAATTAGCCTGTCACTCACTTTCAGCACCAGACTCACACAAGAGTCAGTGCTGGAAGTGGACTCAGGGTCCACAGTGGCAACCACAAGAAAATACTGTTGTTGTGGTTCAGGCAACCCGAGAATAAGATTATTTATTTTTTAATCTTGAATTAAAAAAATAAGAGACCTAGAAATTCAGACACCGACTTCTCTTGCCGCGAAACGGGAGACAATAAAATGTGAAATAACGCTTGGCAATAATACATTAAATTAATTAAAAATGTTTGCCCAAAAAGACTGAACGTTTGACCTGGTTCAAAACATAATTAAAACTATTTTTATCATTTATTCACGTTTATTAAATAAATTTTATAATTTTCGACTAATTCGAATACTATCCAGTTTGGTCAGGGACGCCCGATGTATTTATTCTACGTCGATATTTGAATATTGTGCTTACTAAAATCGTATCTGCCATTTCAAATTTCTAGTCATTAATGATTCTTTTAACATTTTCCACCCAAACGCAAGACTAACCCATAAAAGTTATTTTAATTATGTTTGCACTCGAATATCGAAACAAGCAATGGTTCGAAATACATAATATTAGAATTATTATTATTTGCTAATTCCCATACCAAACCAAGCACCAGAGAGCAGCGGCAATGTGCGTTTTCGAGGTAATACTGTACTTTATGGCACTCCTAATGGACGCTCGACAAAACGGGCAAATTGTGTCTGTGTTCCCCGGACCCAATAACGGCTTCTGCAACAATCGTCGAGAAGCACGCAATTATATAAGTTGAAAAATTATTCAGTCATATAGGCGGTAGTGCAGTAGTTAGAGCTCTTGACTGCTGCGCCAAGGGTCGTAGGTTCGATTCCCACATGGGACAAACTTTCGTGTGATGAACAGATTTGTTTGCTCTTTGTCTGTGTGTTTATTAACTATTTAAGCATATATTTAAACGTTTATAAGTGTGTATCTGGTACCCAAAACACAAGGGATACTAATTTAAGGTCTGATGACCGTGCGTAATATGATCCCAGTTATTCATTTAGGTACATATTTTTATTTATATTATATTCAAAAGATCCTTCATGAGAATAGCTGCTTCGATTTCTGCGACTCTGGCTTCGGGCAGAGTTACTAGGTACATCTATCATCTTTTATTCGTACAGGGTAAATTACTGAGTTATCGCTCTCTCCTAATATTTTGTTACAAGTACTGATGATAGGACGTATATAAACCCACTGTCATCAAATACCACTGTCCCATCTTTTTGCTGAGAAGTGCTCATAAATTTCGGTTTGAAAAATAGATTATGAAGACGTCCCGTGTCAAGATGGCCGTAGGTTTTCACCTTGTGTGATGTCTGTGAACTCCACCGCGGTAGTCATTTAATACAATACGAACTTGACTGCCCGTTTAAGCTTAGTAATTTTTCCCATTGTTTAGAAGTTAATAAAAACTCCTTGACATTACTGTTACGAAATGTTGCTAATTGATATAATTAATAAAGTATTTATAATACATTTAAATAATAATACCAAGTAGGTACTGCAAAATCATTTTTAAAATAATTTTACATTTTCTTTCCATTATTTTTCTACTTATTTGTATAGATCGGACAAACAACCAAGTAATATTCCCGAATATACAATACCTACCTCAATCGCAGGAACTTGATACACCGTTGTGGCCAAAGGTCCACCTTTCCCATGGTTTTCCATGTTTTCTATCTAATAAGATAATAAATAAAAATAATAATAATGCTTATAGTAGCATACAGTTTTATGATTAATATTTTAAGTGGATAAACACCCTTGCAAATACTATGTTACATTCATACACACGTTAGGCGAAGCTAATAAAGCGTATTAAAATAAATGTTTTCGGTGGCGATATTTCTGCACTCTGATGTCAGTAATAAAAAGCGGTTCCGAGTTTGTAAGTATCCGGGAATGTTTCCAATACACCCTCTATTTATGTTGTTATTTTTTATAAATGACTAGCTGACCCGGCAGACTTCGTAGTGCCTCAATCGATAAATAAAAGACTTAACTTTATTTAATTCCGATAATTTTTTCCGATAATAATTTTCATATCTATCTACATTTTAAACCTTTTCTGACATCGACAAATAATTCAAGACCAAAATTAGCCAAATCGGTCCAGCCGTTTTCGAGTTTTAGCGATACTAACGAACAGCAATTCATTTTTATATCCTTATATAGATAAAGCACGTTCGAGACCCTTATGTATTTTCAGTTTTAGGAAAGTCATAAAATTATGCTAGGTTCACAAGTGATCACGATTAGCAACCGTTACACAGTCGTAGCCGCACGAAAGGTCTCTATGCACTGGTCTTAAACACCAAGCCCCTGAACATTAGTTCGATTTTTCCAACATATTCCTGTGTATTTTTAAATAGATCATATTATTAAAGTTTCACTGATTGCAGCATATGAGGTGCGACATTTGTCGCAGTTGAAAGGATGACTGGGTGTATATTATCTCAATATTTTTCATTAATGGGATTTTTATTTTAACGGTAAATAAAATAAATAAAGTATTATTATTACTAAATAAGTTTAACTAAATTTTGAAATGTACAATTTTAATTTCAACATAGGAACGCAAATTTGAAACTGCGCTTCACATACCCTTTTATGTCATTTTGACCCAAATACGAGTATGTTTTTTTTTAAATAAAAATGTAATTCTTTCATCGTAATCATAATATTATCATAGCAGCACATTAAAATATAAGCTAAATGCAAATAGATATTCAAAACTTGCCCTGGAACACTTCCGAATGATTTAACACTATCATGCAGTTATTAAAATATAATGTAATAAAACAAGACAACGACACGCGTTGGATATCTGGGACGTATTAAAACCGGATTTTAAACATGTAACCAATGACCGTGAATCTCTATAAATATAGAATTTGAATTAGAACATAAACCCTATGAAAGTTTTCTACACGTGTGACGGTACAAAAAATCTAAACATTTAACTAAATTAAGCACAAACTTAAAGGCGTAATTATTATCTCTCAATAGATACCAGATTTAAATTAGAGCAGCTAAGTATTGACGTAGGCGGAAGATTTTATAGAAAAAAGGAAGGATTTTCGATTTTAATATCGTAAGTAAATAAGTGTATAACCTATCAGGCAGAATGCAGAATATTACTTTTGGACAGCAGTAAAGCGATGGGATAATCATGGTATAGCGTTGTAATAAGATAGATGAAATGTCATAAATCAAGTTAAGCCCGTGAGCTCACCTACCCGTCCGGACGTAGTTGGAATAGCCCCCTAGTCTACCAACGAATAGGTTGGAAAAAAAAGTCAATGAATAATAAAATTGTAGCAGAATATCTTATAGTTGATATTTTACTGGTAGTACCGTAGGTCTGCTATTGTAGGCCCGGGTGGTTCGATACTATTACCCTGGCAAATAAACCGAGAAGCTGTCATACGTTCAGAGTTTCACGGTGAAGGAATAACATCGTGTAATAAAAACCAAACCCGCAAGTTTTAGTTTGCGTAATTACTGGTGGTAGGACCTCTTGTGAGTCCGCGCGGGTAGGTACTACCACCCTGCCTATTTCTGCGGTGAAGCAGTAATGCGTTTCGGTTTGAAGGGTGGGGCAGCCGTTGTGACTATACTTGAGATCTTAGAACTTATATCTCAAGGTGGGTGGCGAATTTACGTCGTAGATGTCTATATGCTCCAGTAACCACTTAACACCAGGTGGGCTGTGAGTTCACCCATCTAAGCAATAAAAAAAGAGTTCAAGGTTTGAAACTGTCGGTATTCTATATCATTAAAATCTACAGTTAGAATTAGTCTATGACCGGTAGGCACATAATATTTGGTGGGCCTAAATACTGTAATACTATTTAGCTAAGGATGAAAATAGTGTTTACTTCGCTTTTAGCGAGATGTGGATATAAATAGATCGAAGTAAATGTGATTATAAATGGAAACCCTTTTGATTTTAGTTTAAAAGAAGTTGACTTTGTGTTTGGGTAACAATAAATATTATGAGTGTAATTTACAAATAGGCAGGGGATTCCATAATAACAATATCTACTTATAAGTACTATTCATCATTCAACAAGAAACAATAAAAAATTACGAGGCTATTTACAAAATAGCTGCATGCATAAGTATAGGAAACCTTCATTTATCTTCCTCTCCAGCTTGAATGCAGTCCTCAATCTGTATGTGTATAATAAGGGACCTAAAATGAGACCTAAATATTTTTTTGTAAATCCTTCATTAAAAATAACATATAAGATAATTAATATGCTACTGCCCTCTACAGGAGCAATGAGAAACTAGTAACAAACCATCTAGTGGCCGGCGTCCGTAAACAGAATGTGTTTAAATTATTATTATTTTTCCTACCTAAGCTGATAGCCCTAGCGGCTATGTCAGCGTAACCCTAACTTTAGTAGGTGAGCTCACGGGGCTCAAACCTGACGATGTTGCTAACACGAACCCTAGCAAGAGCCGTGCTTCGCAGAATCTACCACCGGATCGGAAACGCGACCCACTGAGAAGATCCGGCGAGAAACTCGGTGGGCTGTGTCTGAGAGTTAATTTACTCGTCGAGCCCTTCGTCGCAAGCGACGGGTTCGACGAGAACGGTGACCGGTGCTTGAAGTACCTAAAAGCACCGTTAGTGGATCGGGAGGATCCGAGATGACGTGTTTTGGGCGACGTCGACTGCTTTCCATTCTGTCCGCAGGATCGGGAATGTAGTTACCGGCGGCCACGATGAGAGGGTTCTCGTGTCGTGCCGCTTTATCGAAGTGGCGCATGGACGCCGACTGCAGATACTTACTGATGGACTCTAAGTCCAGGTCGTCATGGAGGTCGACGTTCCTGACGAACCACGGGGCTCCGACGGCTATCCTGCAAAAACGGGATTGAATAATTTGAAAGGATTTTAAGTGTATGCGGGCCGCGTGAGCGAACACTACACTTGCATAGGTCATGACGGGGCGTATGCAAGTTTTGTAGAGTGTCACCTTATTTCTAAGGGACATTTTACTTCGCCTACATATCATCGGGTAGAGACGTCCTAGAATGAAGGCGGCACGGTCGCGTACCGTCTTGATGTGGGGGCGGAATGTCATCCTACTGTCGAGGGTGACGCCTAAATATTTGACCTTCGGGGCCCACGGTATGGGCTGGTCGAACATCGTGATTGGGCGAACGGCGGGGGCGGGGGTATTGACGCGCCTAGTCGGGAGAGGGATGCTCAGCGTGGTGTTCGGAGGGCGACCCCTTTTGAAGAGCACCGCTGTGCTTTTCGTGGGGTTAATGTCGATGCGCCACTTCCGGAACCACTGTCCCATGGTGGTAGCTGCGGTCTGAAGTCGTCGATGAAGCAACGCCTTCTTCCTACACGAGTAGTAGATGGCGGTGTCATCGGCGAAGAGCGCCAGATGGGTCTCCGGAGACCGGGGTATATCGTTGATATACAAACTAAATAGTAACGGGGAGAGGGCGGAGCCTTGCGGGACTCCGGCTGTGACGTGACGGGGCCGGGAACGCGTTCCCTCGACTCGATATCGGAACGAACGGTTCGACAAGTAGTCTCGTATGATGAGTGTGTTTAAAAGAGAAACGACGTCGCTTTATCCATTCCCCCTCCACGGTCGAGTGGTTCGTGGGACGCTCTGTCTATTTTCTCACTCTCGCTTGTCCTAACTAAATTGTAACTTTTCTCTCTAGCCGCATCTGTCGCGAGTAAAATTTTACTCTCAACGCGCTTAAAGAAGTTTCACTTCAAAAAGTGAGATTGAACCATAATAGTAGTTTTAATTATATTACCTCTATGACTCTTTTGAACTTTTAAATAATAATGTAGATCATTATTCAAGAAAAGAGTTGAATGGATTGATTAGCTATGAATTACCTACAAGAGCAAAAACACATTTTTAAATCCGCGCGGCGTGCAAGAGCGCCCTGTGAATTCGTATGCCTGTGTCCAAAGACAATAAAACACTTTGTAAATACCAACTATGTTTATTCAACATTTTTTTCATTATTCAATTCAAATTTTCAATTTCAAATTTATGATATTTTAATCGAAGTACAAACAGCAATAGTACATTTCCATCATTACTTTCCAATAGCAGAATACAGACATAGGAATCTCTCAAAAACCAGTCGCTTTTTTCTTTAAATTCTTAATTAAATATAAATAAGATCAAACACCTGAAATTGACAATATCGTAATGTTTTTCAATTCTCATGCAGCTGAAGCTTTTTTTTTTAGTTGATTAGTGAGGATTCAATAATATTATTATGGGCCAAGTTTAGTAGGTATGTTTGAAAGTATCTTAAATACTTTGTAGGTATACTAATTAACTGGCTACAATTTTCAAAAAATTTTTTTTATTTGTTTTGAATTGAAAAACGTTAAGTCATAAATATCAAATATGGAGAAAACCCACGATCGGAAATCTAGATAATCTAGATACTGTATGTAAAACCAGCAGCTACTTCAAACACAGGCTCAAGAGTTAAGTAACATTAGCAGTGATTTTTAATTTAAAACAAGTTAGAAAGAAATTAGGAGAATACTAAGATAAATAAACTATGGAATCTATTGTAGAATGCTTATGTGCAAATTTTTCTATTTGAAAATCTAAACATAACCTACTCAATAGTTATATACGTACTAATAAGATTTAAGCATTAACATCAAATCAATTTCAGTGTTGAAAAAATCTAGGAATCTTTGTTGATTTAAATTAGAAATTAATACGCTAAATATAATATGTGAACTACTGGAGAACAGTAATATGGTGATGTTTTCATTTGTTTTCTTTTTTTTAAACGACGAACGCTTCAAGGGCCAACATTGACAGTGACGCCACCGCAGCAACAACTGGTAGGGTTACCACCCACGCAAAAATGATATTCCTGTAAATAAATGAATGACGATAAATTTTTTTAAGCTCTGTTTTCTATATTTTTCCTCTTTTTTTTAAAAATACTGTTACAATTATATCGTACCTATTGAAATATTGTTTATTTAGAAAACGGGCTAGAAAAATTACAGAATGCCCTTAAAAAATATCTCTATCTATCTCTAAAAAAATCTATATCTAAAAAAATATCTGTCTTAAAAAACTATATATAATATATACTAGATTACAGAAAAACACACCTAAACAGTGTCCAGTCAACAGATTTTTGAGAAAAATATCCAACACATACAACGGAGCCGACTTTGCAATGAGTTGTAGAGACTGGTAAACCTGCTTTGCTAGCCACCAGGACGGTCAACGCTGCGCCCAGCTCTATAGTAAAACCACTGCAAATCACAACAAAAGCAGACTGTCAAATTTATTTTCTTCAGATTATAATAAATATAATATTATAAAGAGGAAAGTTTTTTTTGTTTGTTTGTATTGAATAGGCTCCGAAACTACTGAACCGATTTGAAAAATTCTTTCACTTTTTGAAAGTTACACTATTCCAGAGTGACATAGTGACATAATCTTTTTTGAAAAAAATTGGGATCCTTACTAAAACTCCATTAATGTAACCCAAGGTGTAAAAAAATTACCTGAAATATTCTTTACATCGCGTGCCCTGCGAAAACTATTGATGATAGAATAAAATAATGTACTACGACTTTGTAAGTAGAACACATTCTTATTTACAAAAAATGTCGAGACAGCACATGTCTAACTATCTTATACCTTTAAACGAGCAATTCCTGTATATTAATATATATATATAATCTGAATCTCGGAAATGGCTCCAACGATTTTCATAAAATTTAGTATACAGGGGATTTCGGGGGCGATAAATCAAGCTAGCTACGATTTATTTTCAAAAAATGTTGTTTTATTCGTGTTTTCAATAATCAACTCTTCCCGACATCTATTGGCGAATAATAATACTATTTCTCTTAATTGAGGGCAACTAACCGCTTTAAAGAGACAACAAGATGGCGTTATCAAAAAAAACCCAGTCATCATCTAGTTATAGTTATGCCGCAATAAATGTTCTTTTATTTACAAAAATTAAACAACGTCAAATATCGTTGAAATTTTTGTTAAAGACCCGAGCGGAGCCGGAGCGGGCCTCTTGTAATAAATAAAATAAAAAGAAGGAAATGTTATAAATGCTCAAAAATATTGGTATCATGATATCCGAGCTTAAGCTTGTATTGTCGATAAATATTTTTCAAAGTGATTGTCTTGTTACGTACGTATCTGGAGTGATACTAGTTAGGTCTTCTCCTACGGTGCGTATTACCCGACGACCCCAGAGCCAGAGGCCGAGCGCAATACCGACGCCTCCAAACACGAGGATCGCAAGTGGAGTTTCTGCCCGAGCGTGCGCTCCGCCTTCTGAATAAACCAGCCATAAAGCCACCAGCGGCCCGATAGCATTACTGGAAAATAATTTTACTATTTGTTTTATTACCTATGTATTATTAACAATCGAAGTGGGTCAATTCTCGCTGGAAGTTATGATGTTTACGAAATTTTTAATAAAGAGACCCACATTTGAATCTACTCTCGCGCGGCCTGTCATCATAATCGAACTAATCCGGATGAAGCTTGTAAAAATGCACATACCTTACGTCGTTTCCTCCGTGTGCGAATGAGCCAAATGTTGCAGTAAGTACTTGCAAAAAAGAGAACAGCCGTAGCGTTTCATCCTGAGGGTGTGGCTGTGGCGGTGGCGGGGGCGGCGACGTCGCTCGCAATAAGGGCGCTGCGCTCGAGTTGGGCGTGATGGCGGGTAATCGCTTACTCTCTCGCTCGATACTCCAAGCGCTACCACCACTCGGGGCCTAAAAAAACAATTTTCAAAACCAGCATTGCTTAGAGCTCTGGTTGGTTAAGATAGTTCCGCAATCACAATTTTGGGACACGCAATTATTAAAAAGGCAGTTTTTAAACATAACTCTAAAAATAACCATAAACTTCATGTAAATCTTAAGTGTTAGGTCAAAATGTTATCATAATTACCTTCTCGATCCGAGGAGGTGGTGTGTCGAAGTCAACGTTACCAGGAAGCGCTCGTGTAACAGCCAGTCGATCAAAATCTCCTCGAGCGATAGTATCACACGATCCCCCCAAGAAACCATTTTTAGAATCATAACTCTCACCCATCCCAGCTAGCTGAGCTGAATCTAAGCTCTTGCAACAGCTTATAGTCTCATCAATATATTTCAGAGTATTAATCTGTGGATCTGCATCAATAAGTTGCAGCCGAGACTTATTGGGTGGACTTAGGCTCCTAGATAAAACAGTGCAATCATCCATGGTGGCCAAGAGAGCACGATTCCTCGCATTCATCCCGCGGACGTCCACTGACATTTTATCAACATCACTTAATGTGACCATTTCAGCACTTTCAGTAATCACTTCCAGGACTTTCCCATCTTCAGATATCAAAGACGTAGGTCTTTGCGGTACATTATTTTTATTGGAATGCGTCGGAGTATTAACCGGTGTTGTTTCTGCAATAATTAGGTATGTTTTCATAAAATTTCATTACTTATTTTAAACATAATTACTATCGTTGTTCAAAGTACCGTTAGATAGTCCCATGGAAAAGTTGACCGGCGGTTGAACAAGCTCACGTCGGTAGTAAGGTACAAGAAACAATCGTACGCAAATAGCGACCACCAATCCCAATGTGATGGACCCGGTCAAAGCAATCCACAATGGAATTGCATCCATAGCAAGCACTGAAAACAATATTTCTGGGATATTTATATTTATAACTCATCTCAATGAAATTGGATGTAAATAGTAAAATAGTATTTACACTTCGGCCCATCGAGCACAACGCTAATTACGTTGACAGCTATTGTGGCACCATAGAAAAAAGGCAAAGCTCGCAGTCCTGCTTTCAAGGGTTGTGGAGCACGCAGAATGAACCGACGAACTAGCCAGAAAAGAAGCGCCGACGCCGTCCCACTTAGTACCGGAGATATAAACCACGATAACACTAAACATATAAATTATTATTATATTGTATGTATCCAGTGTTGAGAATAAATAATTAACTTGGATCGTTTGTATTTCAAACTGCAGATCGGTTTACTTAGTCCTATGGATTATAAGTTGCTGATAATATGGAAACCCAAGACTTCGAAAAACTGTGCGTTAAAAAACCACATTCATAAATTTTTCAGACTGTCAATTCAAAAGCGTATTTGTCAAACTGTATTAATTAACTCATGATAATAATGGATGCAAAAAATCAGCGGCATTTGTTTTATCTACTAATTTGTTTTTTTGTCTGTTTTTACAGGTCGTCATAATAACAAGATAAAACTAGTTATTTTTTAGAAATTTTAATATGTTTTTTAGACTATGCACAAATAAAAACGTATCATGAATACAGAGGAACATTTGAATCAATAAGTGATTATTTAACGAACCAATCGCTCCTAAAGTAGACCAGCGGACTCCGATGGGTCCCTTCGCAGTAAGAGTGAACCCAACTGTAGCGCCGACTACGGAATGTGTCCCGGATACGGGTAATCGTAGAGCGGTAGCAAGAATAAGCCAAGTCGCCCCGGCTATAAGAGCAGCCAAACACCCGGCCGCAAGAAGCTTCTCGCCGCCATCCGCGTATAATGATACATCAAGTATACCCTTCCGCATAGTATCCGAAACTTTATATCCTGAAATTCACGATCACGTTAATATACAAAACACTATAATATAATAATATTTAGAAACAAAAATATCTAAGCCAAATGAAAATGACCCACACCTAAAACCTCACAAACGGATAAGTGTACGATATCATAATTATAATTTGCGTAATTACTGGTGGTAGGACCTCTTGTGAGTCCGCACGGGTAGGTACCACCACCCCGCCTATTTCTGACCTGAAGCAGAAATGCGTTTCGGTTTGAAGGGTGGGGCAGCCGTTGTGACTATTCTGAGACCTTAGAACATATATCTCAAGGTGTGTGGCGCATTTACGTTGTAGATGTCTATGGGATCCTGTAACCACTTAACATCAGGTGGGCTGTGAGCTCGTCCACACACATAAGCAATAAAAAAAATAAAAAAACAGAACGTTGTTATCGATATTAAGAAAAGAGATTCCAATGCAAAAGATGGGAAAATAATCATCGTTATTTTTTAAAAGGTCGTACAGTTCATTACTAGAGTTTATTTGTATATTAAATAGATATTGTGTACAAATATGGTAGCTTACCAATGAGTACAGCTCCGGCAATTTCAAAAATGGTAGCCAGAATACAAGCTTGAGTAAGAGTCAACACCTTTGAACCTACACTGGTCCCAAAAGAGTTTGCCACGTCGTTCGCACCGATGCCAAATGCCAAAATGAAAGCAACTACAAACCCACTTACGACCAACCATAATAAATCGTTTGAGTACGGTTCCATAATGACCTTTATTTTATTTTATCCTTAGAAATTCATTATAGTCACATAAATTTCAAAATTAACATGATTTTCGATAGCACCTTGACTTTAACAATAAGCTTTGCTTAAAATTCACCACTATTAAATATAACAATCCAACGGAATTCGAGTTTGGAATATCTGGAAAATATACTTTATTCCAAAGTAAATACATATAAATTATGGCAGATAGATTGTAATTACGTACTTAATAATTATAAGTTAAACAGATGCTGATGTAAAAGCAATTTCACAAAAGTTGAAATCAACATGGAAATAAATACGATTTAAATCGGTTTGCGTCACAAGGTTTGATGTTTTAAAAGTCTTTCGGAAAGTAGGCTGGATCTTGGAAACTGTGTTATCATCATTTCTGAAAAGAAATAAATTACATACAATAAATACATTTTAAAAATTGTTCTCAAAATTTATTTCAATAAACGGAACTAAAACGTGTCCGGTATGTACCAATGCAGTATTCAAACACTAGAAAACAGCAATGTAACTAATTTTTATATTTTAGTATAATGTTTATTTAGAGAATCGCATGACGATGTTACAATTTGTTTAACTAAAAAAGCTGATCTTTAATTTAGATAATTTTTTACATTCTTGTAATGACCGGCAAATACCACATGGCCCGATATCGATTTAGCCGAGAATTCCGAAGACGCCATTTGACAAACTAAGTCTAGAAACATTAGAGGTAAAGTCTCGAAGGGGTACGTAAGTATCTACTTGCGTTGTTATTTAGTTTCAAAAAGATATCGTTCATTTGATGGCAGCAACCTATTAGACACTTTAACGTCTAAAATAAACATAAAAACGGTTAACAAGCCAAGCAAATTATTTTTACCTCGTGGAGTTTATGTCACAACTCGTTAGTAAAAAGTCAACGCAAATTAATCAGATCGTAAGTTTTAGAAATAATTCTAATAAGAAAACTGAACTTACTTTTAACGGAGATAGGATATTGTAGTCCTTAATTTTGTTTGCACACGAGCGGGTCTCTCACCTTGAATGTCTAAGCGGTATACTGAAGTTGACGAGGGGCCGAAGGGGTCCACCGGGCCTTTGTATGAATAGAGCATGCGCAAAATAGGGTGTCTCCAAGTATCCAACCCCTACAAAATTCCACAATAAAACTGTTTGTTCTATAAAAATTCCCCCGTAGTTCCAATCACGTATAAAAATAGAATAACTACGAAGTACGGACAGATTTTTACAGGGACATTAGAAACTTGTTGATAATTTTCTCAGTTTTTTCCATTTTCCATAAATAAGTGAAAGTAATCATTTCCGCGTATTAAAGTATATATACAATTGAGCATAAGCTAACGCCGCAGCAAGCAAGTATTGTACTTTCAACAGTAAATTAGTAATGACCACATGTATGATATTATATTGCTTGGTAATAAAACACTGATTGCAGCAAATTATGAAGATTAGTCCAAAATAGTTTAACCTCTACAAGAACTCATATTGTCAGTTATAATTGTTTGAGCGGATGATATGATTTATATTTTTGAAAAATAAATGGCTACAACTAAAATTGATGGCTTTTGGCCATCAATTTTAGTTGTAGGTATACCAAATCACTGATGATTTAAAATAATTGTTTTTAATTTGTTGTTCTCGGAGGTTAGTTTTATAATATTATATTTTGTATTTTTAGAAGTTATTAAGGATTTTAGGTGTAATTTTTATTTTTTTGTTTTCGTTAGTCTTTGTTTATTATTTTATTGGTATTATTGTTTTTTATTACTTATTTAAAGCATTTCATGTACAGTGACACTGATGATAATTTTTTGTCATGTTCTTCTTCTGTTTCTTCTGATAGAAGCTTTGCTAGTGCGTTTNATCGTCATACGAGGGTTGCTGACGTTGGGGCTGCCATTTCGGCAATCAACGTGGATCTCTCCGCGATTTACAACTGGGCCAAGTCCTTTGGTCTTTTGGTGAATCCTTCGAAATCGCAAGCTCTCATTGTTGGTGGTAGGTATATGTGCGGCCTTCTCGATTACAGCTCGTTAGCGCCCATCCTCTACGACAACGTTCCAATAGCGTATTCGAAATGTGTCAAAAATCTAGGTTTATACATCGACAGTCACCTCTCGTGGATTAATCACGTTTCCGAAGTAAGCAGAAAAACAGTTTACTCCTTTCAGTCCCTGAAACGCCTTCAAAAATTCTTGCCTCTTCGCACTAAAATTTATCTTGCCCAAACGCTTTTAATTCCTCTTCTCGATTATGCTGATATCTGTTTTCTAGATGCTTCTGAATTGCTTTTAGATAAACTCGAACGTCTGCAGAATTTGTGCATCCGCTTCATTTTTGGTCTCCGGAAGTATGACCATGTCTCTGATTTCCGGGCTGAGTTGGGGTGGCTGCCGATTAGGCGACGTCGAGATTGCCACATTCTCTCTTTTCTCTATTCTATTCTTCACAATCCTGATGCCCCTATCTATCTCCGTGAACACTTTGAATATCTGATTCCTGACGGCAAAGTTAGTCGACAAGCCACTTCTCTTCTTTTAAAAACTCCCATACACAGCTCTAGTCGCTATAGTGGCTCTTTCACAATACAAGCAGTGCGATTATGGATTCCCTCAACCTATTCGTGCTAGTTCCTCTCTAGAAGTTTTTAAGAGTCAAATGAAGAAACATTTCCTGTCACTTTAATCGTATTTAAGTTATTGTTTTATGTATTTTTATTTATATGTATTTTTCATTTAATATTAGATTTTTTTTTTTAATGCTTAGTTAAAAATCATGCTTTAATAGCTCTTATATTGTACACTATTCCCCTCTTAAACATCGTATTTCTCTCTGATAATGGTTTGCTGGAAGAAAACTCATGAATGAGTTAAGCTCGCCTTTGTACATAGTATTTAGAATTCTTTAAATCTGTTTTTATTGTATTTTCTTTTTGTGTACAATAAGTATAAAAATAAAAATAAAATAAATAAATAAATAAAAAGTTCACAAGAGCAAACTATAATAGCAACAATCACAAACATTCTTGGAAAAATATACTGGAAATCTGCGAAAAATGTATCTCGGATCCTTCTTATAGCATCACTACTTCTTTAAGTTTCCAGATTCTACTAGAATTCATTTTCAATTTTATCGTTTTAGTAGTGATCAAAACAGTCTTATTTACGGTTCAACAGATCGAAAACAGCTATAACTATTGGAGAAATTGGCAAACCCCTATGAAGCTACCAACTTGGTAAGGGTTTCCTTATCCTCGTTGAAATTTAAAAACTTGACTAGTTTATACTGAGTTTTGACGGCTGTCCTGTATTATTACTTAACCCTGGTTACATAAACGCCGGCCATATTGTGTTTTGTGAACTACAGTAAGGCTATCGACTGTGCGAATTGGAGGTCCTTGTGGATGCTGTTGGCTGAGATAGGTGTCCCAAAACACCTAAATGCCATGCCTCATGGCCTGTACTCTGGGAGAATAGATCAGAGCATGTCCACATCATTTCGGAAAGGGGGTACGCCAGGGCTGTATTCTCTCGGTGAATATATCATGAGACAAACTCTCGACGACTGGAGTGGAAGTGTATGCATCGGTAGATCCAAAATCACTAACCTTCGGTACGCCGAAAACACAACTCTAGGGGCCGCTAGTGAGTCCCAGATGGATATACTCTTGGAGAAAAACGAAAGCGTAAGCAGCCGCTTAGGCCTCACCATAAACAAGTCGAAGACAAAGATAATGGTGATAGATCGAGAGAACCAAATGGCACGCTCAACCTACAGAAACTGGAGGACTTTTATCTATTTGGGCGCTAATATCTGCAGCAACGGATCTTGTGAGGGTGATGTTAGACGGCGCATAGGCATAGCAAAGAGTGCCATGTCTCAGCTCCATAGAACATGGAGAGATAAAAAATATCTCTTAAAACCAAAATGAGACTTGTTCGAACTCTGGTGTTCTCATTCCTTCTCTATGGTGCTGAGACTTGAACTATGAAATCAGCTGATCGCCGCCATATTGACGCCTTCGAGATGTGTTGCTGGAGGAAGATGCTACGAATCCCGTGAACATCATATCGGACTAACGCATCCATTTTAAGACAGCTCAATATCCAAACGATTGCAGGCAATCTGATGCACTGGTTCGACCAAATCCGCACCACTCTGGATACCACAGTCTACGATGCCATACATACCGGCGATAACAGAGGAAGATGGCGAAACATCATCCCAAGAAGGATAATGGGAGATGGTCACGACCCTGAGACATGAGGAATGCGGCTGGGGGAGGAGGGAGTTACATAAACGTATTTTACAGTTACAGTACAGTAATTTACATTTAAAAGCAAGAGAATCTTAAATGACAGTATATTTAAAGTCTGTCCGACTGTGCTACTAGTAGGTACTATGGCTATTTCCTGTCCATCCTTTCCTAACTAACTTTTTTAAATATATGAATTAGGCCTACATGTGTGCTTAGTGCAAGTATTATAACTACTCGATACTGTAAAAGTTAACTCAAATTTATCACAATCACGTAATTTTTTTGATGTAATAAATTCCATAATATATTAAATGATATTTAATAGATCAAATCTCGCAGGCAGGTGCTAATTTTTCTAATGAAATATGTGCTTACTGCGCGACTAATATACTGCTGCCTATCGAAAATGGGTAGATAGTGATAGGTGCCTATCCGTACGAGTTCACAAAATATAAAATTACTGCATTTTTGTTATTAATACAGAATGTTATTCCTTCTTAGTAGAACAGTAGAAGTCGTGCTTTAACACATTAGAAAAAATAGCACCTGCCTGCTAGATTTGAATCCCAGCATATTTATTACATAACATATATTTAATATGAACTTATCACATAATATACCTACCAATATATTTAGCTTTGCTGCCAACCGATTTTGCGAGCATGTACTATCCTTAGTATTTATTATATCTTCGTATCTTGCCACTCTGTCATGAGAAGTGCATGTGCGTTCTGTTTTATATCCATATCCATGGTCCCAATGTAATTGAAACTTAAACTGAATCTCTCACGGTAGAGAAATGATGAGATTCATTGTGTAAATGGGAAGACTACATTATTTCATCATACCAAAAAAATATATAAGATTGGCAGTATGCCATTATTCCTTTTATTTAAATTGTCACATATCTGTCATATATCTGACAGTGCGACTGAAGGAAAAAGAAACAAGGATTTTATTTTCAAATTTCCTTCTTTTTTCGTTTTGTAAATTTATTATTTAATGATTAATATCTACAAGTACATTAAAAATATACTTATCTGATATAAATAATGTAATATTTGAATTAAAATAAAGTAAATAATGTTTTCTAGAACTTTAAATGTTTCCGCAAATATTTGGTACGAGCTCTAGAAATAAGAATTATTTGGTATACATAATTGTTATTTGACTAAAGATCCATTTTAGCAAACCACCACTATTCAATCAAGTTTGGCTTCCACCTAAGAACGGTCGATTGATCCGTAATTCATTTCACAATTCAAAAAGAGGTTCGCGGCAAGCTCTGAAACCTGACCCTTTGGAAAATCTACATATTGAAACTGGCCCGTTACATGCGAAAGGATTAGTGAAACCGCTTATTTTTACTGTGGGAGTAAGTATTGGTGAAAAGAACAATTCGCTAGTATAATAGGAAACTACAACAGTAAATCTAATTAAAAACTTGCAGGTCTCAGCAGTCAGTTTACTAGGCTGTGTAATATGGGAATATGAGAATCTACGGGTTCACGCTTCTTCACTACTACGAAGACCAGGAACGTGGCTGACTGCACAGCAAAAAAAAGTATTACATCATTTTGTAAGTAACTAGTAAATGTGTGTTGCACAATGGTAACAATCCTTTAAAGGTATTTTGTGAAGCAATTATTAAAAAAAAAACTACATATTAGTAACGGTTCTAGTTCTCAATCACTAAGAATCTTTTCTCACTCTAGCTTACATAAACAACTGGGCTAATTTTGGTAACACCTTTTTTCTAAGGCATTTTTTTTAAATTCTCTGATAAAATTTACTACGAGGATAAATAACACATATTATGTGAATAAAACAAATCAACAATTATTATAATTTTAGATTGAAGGAGGATATAATTTATTGTTATACTATTAGCTTAGAGATTACTTATGGAAGGATTTCAAAGTATAATTATTTTTTTTTGTTTATCTTCAGTTACCTAATTTAACAGAGTTCAACCATTATTGAAAAAACTTGTTCATAAGACAATATAAATTGATATTGTTACTTTAAATAACAAACATTACTCTGGTTTAATTTTCTCATTTTAAAATAAATTCATAGGTAAATGGCATAACATTTGCTAGGCTACAGATGATAATAGTTTATCAGGCTATGATCAAAAGAAGTGTATAGCAATGTAAATTTTACTCACAACAATGTAAAACTTAGTAAACTGCATAGACCAACATCATAATAACAAAATTAAAAAAATAATTACAGAGTAAATCAGAGCCTGGTCCATTGAAAAAATGGTGGAACTCACTACGGGATAATGAGAAGGTGTTTTATCCAATTTTAGCTGCTAACTTACTAGTATTCGGAGCATGGCGCATTAGAGCTCTACAGCCTTTTATGGTCAAATACTTCTGTTCCAATCCTTCAGGAGGTAAGTAACTTTCCTACATTTGGTTAAGTCCAAATCCAACATCTACTGTGATACTCTTGCACTTTTCCAGTACATATAGTATTCGAATTTAGACATTTACACAAATTTACTGTAAAAAAATATTTATTGGATGAAAATATGATGATTAGTGTTGTAAACATTTCTTTAGGTGCCGTATGTCTTCCGATGGTTCTTTCAACATTCAGCCATTATTCACCATTGCACCTGGCTGCCAATATGTATGTTCTTTATAGTTTCATGCCTGGTAAGTGCAACCAAAGTATTTTTGCTTACATACTATACTCGTGCCTATAACAGGAGAGACAGCGATTATGTTGATTGGCTTACATGGGTAAAAATTAGCATGGCTCATTAACTTCCTAATTATTAAAAGTTTACCTGTGTATTTATGTCATTGATGAAAAATATAGTACGCCTATGTTGTCTGTTGTAAATTCAATTGCATAATTTGGTCATATTTCCCGTGCAATGTCTGCGTGAAATTACAAATTTTAATGTTTTGTTGTTTTTATTGTTTGCATGCAAAAAAATATATGTGTGTTGGAACATTCAGGATTATTTTGTTCACAGCTGCTGTATCTTCAATGGGCAAAGAACAATTTACAGCCATGTATCTCAGTGCCGGTGTCATAAGCAGTTTTGCTAGTTTTCTTTACAAGGTTATGCTAAATCAACCAGGATTAAGCCTTGGAGCAGTAAGTTAAATAATTAAAGTTTCTCAATAAATTACTTTTTTTTTAAATGCCAGGATTAATATACTGGGCATTCCCAATATCTGTAAATACAGTACAAGTACTACTTTCTGAGATGTAAACTTAATTATTTCTATTTAATAGTTCAAAGATATGAACTTTTATGTGATGTAGATTATTAAAACTTTTATTAAACTATTACTAACAAATAACATATCATAATTAACTTTATTTTTAGTCTGGTGCAATCATGTCAGTGCTGTCTTATGTGTGTATGCAATACCCCGACACAAAACTAAGCATCATATTTTTACCAATGTACACTTTTGCGGCTGGTTCTGTGAGTATTATAATTTCATATAGGTAAGATTATGACTGCAACATTTGAGGTGTTGCAAGTATAAATCACTTTCTAAAATTTCTTGTCCCTACAATGAAGAAAATGTTTTTTTCTGCACTATACCTGTTCTTGCTACGAGTACAACCGAAGCCCTTGTAGAATTATTTACTGAAAAACATTACAAGAACAACCAACAGCTACTGTTGGTGCTGCATTTTTGCTTTTCAATTTCAAATGTATGATAGCATGGACCGCCTTCTAATCGATAGCAATGACCCTACCACTATATGTTAGTAATAATACCATCCCCCATCAGATTTTTATTGTTACATTATATACAATTAAACTTCTTTGTCAATACATCCCGGTTTTTTGTTGTTGCATATATGGTTGGACTAGCTCACAGCCCACCTGGTGTTAAGTGGTTATTGGAGCCCATAGACAACTACAACCTAAACACGCCACCCGCCTTGTTATATAAGTTCTAAGGTCTCAGTATAGGTATAATGACTGCCCCGCCCTTCAAACCGAAACGCATTACTGCTTCACGGCAGAAATATACAGGGCGGTGGTACCTACCCGTGCGGACTCACGAGAGGTCCTACCACTAGTAAATAAATATATCAATGATGAGTTATTATGTAATATGAAATTACAGGCAATCAAAGTTATAATGGGAATAGATCTAGCTGGTGTTGTCTTGGGTTGGAAGTTCTTTGATCATGCTGCTCATCTTGGTGGAGCTATATTTGGAATGTGAGTAAAATGCACAAGTATGAAGGTTAAGAATTTATGTTCATATTAAATAGTATTTGTAGACGATACTGTATGAAATCTCTTTGGCCATGTTCGCTTTTGTGCATGTCGCAAAGTGTGATTTATTTTAACAAGTCTAATGTAGTGTAGTTGTAAATTTAATTAAACTAGAGGTCCCGCACTAGTCGAAATTCGACTATAATTAATTAGAATTGTAAGTTTGTACACTATTATGATTGTATTTTATACTTCTATAATCACAAATTTCGCCAAGACTACACTATAAAAAAAACTAACAAAGACAAACAATATTTAATCTATTCTCAGTTTGACAACAAACGTCAAGAACAAAAGTTTGACAATAAATAGTATGCATGCGTGTGTGCGTCAAATACATGATATTTAGAGTGTGTAATGTTTTCTTTATTGATTTAAAGTATCTTTTATGCATTATTTAAAAAAATATTAGCATTGTGCACTTCTTCTCTATATTCTCTATAAGTGTGGAAAAATTCATACTCCTCCGTCCGCGCAATTTTCGTAAAAAGGCATACAAAGTTTTTGCTTCACGTATTAATATATAGATTGTGTGCGACGTGCGTCATGTTCAACGCGCGATTGACGTTTATGCGGGATTTACATTACGAAATTAGTGTCATGCATGTTGAGCTCAGTTTCACGAAAGTAGTTTTGATATATGCGAAAGTAATTTCGTTATAAAATTAGTGTCGCGAAATCCACAGTATCGCAGTAACCATGGCGCCATCACCATCAAAGCTAAATTCATCAAAGATAAAAATGTAGCTAAAGAAATGTTTATATACCTATAAACTTAAAAAAAGACTATCAAGAAAAAAAAGGTTGGTAGATTCGAGGATGGTCAACAAGAAAGCATTTAGGTGCAATGAAGTTAGTCTGAATTAGCAGATGAAGATCCTGAGAGTTATAAAAACTATTTTCGAATGAGTGAAGATAATTTAGATTTTTTATTGTAGGTGTTTCGGGTCCCAAAGACACCCTTGTCGCTGATATTCATTAATAAGATCTACATTTTTTTCTGTACTCCATCGTTGGTTTGCCATTTTCAACGCTTGAAGCGCGTCCGAACTAACAATACACACGTCTGGACAGCGCAGGCCCTTTCGCGACATTAGTTTCACGTCGCGTCTACACTATGAAATTAGTTGCATGACACTAATTTCACCAAAAAATCGCGCAGTGCACGAAACTAATTTGCATGCATGAAATTAATGCATGCATTACGAAAGTATTAAATTACACGTGAAATTGTTGGTAAAAGTAATGTCACGAAATTAATTTCATGCCACTAATTTCGTAATGTAAATTCGCCTTTATTCTTTAAGTGCGATTGTGATTGAATCTAAGGAATAACGGCAAGGAGACAAATAAACGCAAAAAGGACAAATATTATACATAAATCATCTTACGCAAATAATACCTACTGACTGTAGTTGTGTTGGGGGTAACAAATTTTAATTCAGTTAATAAGAAATATTTTTTAAAACGCTTTTTGTATGCTGTTGTAAAAAATACTCCAATTTACTATCGTATTCAACAGATGGCTTTCAATGAAATCAACTCTTAAGGAGTAAACTCCAATAAAAAAATGTGTATCAAAAAAGTTTACTGTAATTAAACTAAAATGAACACTAATTAAAACAAAATTCTTTTCCAGTATATGGTGCCAATGGGGTTATTCTCACGTATGGGGTAACAGAGACAAATTCCTCCAGTATTATCACCACTTTAGAAAAAGCGATCCCGGAAGGTAGCGAAGAAAATCAAAATGGCCATTTAAAGTATGAATATAATTCGGTTGTTAACAACGGCGGTTTATATTGAACCAATGGTTAAAAATTATAGAAACTTTTCATTTATATTTGTTATTTTATTATATTATTTATAATATTATTATGTTATATTTCATTTATCAGCAATTTGTTTTTGTCGAAAATTCATAATAATAAAGAAAAACAAAAAAAAAACGAATATAACTGATTTTTTTAAAAATGAGACTACGATATTTTACACTAAGTACCACCTACCTACGATTTTTAGATCAGCATAAGTAAGATCCACGTGACGATAACGTACAATATTAATTGTAGTAACAATAGAGAAACTGGTCAGTTCTTATCTTTTATAATTACCACATATAGCAGAAGTCTTTTTTTTTATTCCCTGTGTAAGCAGATGAGCATACGGTCTCCTGATGGTAAATGGTTATCGTCATGAAGTATACTCACATCGATTTCAAACCTTTGAATTCTTTTCTCAGCAACCAAGTACCTACCAATTTCAACTCTCTCTAACTTTAATTGTAAAACAACAAAATAGACCAGAAATTTAATAATAAATTGCATAAAATGATCTGTTTACATCAGATTTACTCTTCTTAGAGGCGACGAATCCATTTTTCGTTTTATTCAGAAATACCACACTGAATGTAAACAATTTATATAGCAGCTTCGTTATACTACCTCCAGTAAAGCTTAGTAAAAGCTAACTGGATGGCAATACTAAATGTCATTATAAGATGATACGTTCTAAAGTTTAGAATCTAAAATCTAAATGATATTGAATAATTTTAAGGCATGCATGTGGTTAATCATTCTATATCAGTCTATGGTGTTAATTCATCGTTTATTTTGGCGCATAGTTATGTAATACAATGATTTGGCACTAAATCTTCATCTGCAATGAATTAAGAGTGTATTATTTACAGTAATGAAGTTGTGTTCGGCACAGTAGTAGTAGCAGTATGGTAAGCAGCGACTTGGCTGTGCTCCTGGCATTGCTGACGTCCACGGGCGACGTTAGCCACTCACTATCGGATTGCACGAACGCTCGTTTGCTTAAAAAGGCAATAAAAAAATTGGGTCCGGGGGGCCGCGACGGACAGCGCGTGTCTCCCATTTGGCATATCTCTGAAAATAATGAGTAGTCACTGTTTCCGTAAATCGCCCATTATTTTAGAGTTATTACATTATAATGTTTGCGAAAAAACACCTCGACGATTTTTGGACGATTTTTGATATATTGGTGCGGCCTTAGTGGAAAGTATGCCGTGGACACACGGTGTCCTTCATGGCGTTCAACGTGTTAAGCCGGCTGTACACGCTCATCGAGACACCAAAAGACAGGACGAGGACGAGTGTGTAGATGGCACCCGCGTCTCGTCTCCTGGCTCTCTCTCGGAAGCGTGTCGATTTTTGCGCTCGAGTCAAAAGGTCTCGGAAAGTCTCGCGATGACAACGAGAGCTCACCTGTACACACTCGTTCGCTTAGTTGTCCGCCAACTGCGTCAGCTTCTTCAAGGTCTATCGCATCGGGCATCCTAAGTTCAATTGATACGAGTGTGTACATGGTGTGGTCTCGTATCGAGCCTCTTTTTTTTCCTATGCTGATAGCCTTGAGAGGCTATATCAGCGTTACTCTAGCGTGTAGGTGAGCTCTCGGGGCTCAAGTCGGAGGTGTTGCTAACACTGGCTCTAGCAAGAGCAGTGCTTCGCAGAATCTACCACCGGATCGGAAACACGACCTACTGAGAAGATCCGGTGAGAAACTCAGTGAACTGTGGATTAAACTATGGGTTAATTTACTCGCATAGCCCTTCATCGCAAGCGACGAGTTCGACGGGGTCGGTGACCGGAAGCGCCTCTACGCGGCGAGAGCGGACGAGAAGCACACGAGACGCGACGAGCGTGTAGGTACATCCAGCATTAAAAGTGTGCAATAATTATTTTATAAAGTATTAATAATAATAAGTGTTCACATAGTATTAATAATAACAAGGTCACTCAAATACTTCAAATACTTAAACTTTATGACATAATCCGTATTCTGGCGATGCCGAGAGCATTGACATTTCTGTCATAAGCACATCTGCCCATTTCTATAAAACTACTGATGTTTACCCAAATACTGCCGCAAGCAATTTAGCTATTGCAGAATCATTGGTAAAATAAAATCACAATATTATTCCAAAACGATTTTATTAACAAAAAATAACATTTTAAACGCATTTATTAGTCCACTGGTACATTACCTACGCTTTAAGTATTTTAGCATGGAAGTCGAAGTGTTCGCCAATGTAAGTAGAGATGTAATAATAGGAGTGATCATATCCATCGCGTAGTTGCAAAATGACAGGGACTCCTACAGAACGGCATGCTTCCACCAAATTCTCAGGAAGTAACTGCTTCTCTAAATAAAATTTATCACCACTTCCCTAGAAATAAATAATCGGAAAATCGTATTTGAATCGCCTTTTGTGACTTGATATTCATGATTTAAAATCCCATGGTCTGCTATTTGGTTTATTAAAAAAATGCCTTTACCGAATTACCAAGAGCAGTGGTCTTCTTATCTTAGATGGGACAATGAGCTAATAGGTTATCTGGTACTACTATGAGGTCACTGAGTCCATAAATTACAAAGTAAAATATAATAAGTGGAAGTATCAGCTGTATTGGATTATATATTTAATGAGCAGCTTTAAAAGCCGAAATTACCTGATCTAGTAGTAGTGTAAGAGGAGGTCCATTGTATTTCTTAACCAGCTCTGTGGCATCCCATTCTGCCCATTTACTCTTATCTTCTCCCAAATATCCACTAAAAGCCTTCACTCCCCATGGACAAGCACTTGGATTACAAATAGGAGCAAAAGCGCTTACTGACTTGTACTGGCCAGGATTCCTCAGAGTAGAAACTAAAGCACCATGCCCTCCCATGCTAAAATGTTAAAAATATATTATTTTTATTTGATGAATGATTTATATTATCTTTATTAGGTCCTAGTTACTTTTTGGCAAAAAACCTTTTTAAACTAGTAACAAATAGGAGTTTTAGATTACCTGTGTCCCATAATACCAATTCTATTAGGATCTACCACATTGCAAAAAGCCTTCAAAATTAAATCATATAATTCAACATTCAAATAACTGCCCATTCTGTAATTATTATTCCATGGTTCATTTGTGGCATCTAAATAAAAACCGGCACTAACTCCAAAATCCCATGATGAATCATCTCCATCAATCTTAACTCCACGTGGCGAAGTATCAGGACCTACGACAATTACACCATGTTCGGCTGCATACCTGTTTGGAAATATTAGTTTTATAAAATATACAATTTATAAATATACTTATAGAATTTATTCAGAAGTACTCTTCAAAAACTTATATACAAACAATGGAAACAGATTTTACAGCTACATATTTTATTTCAGATTTTTTACAAGTTGTGTGATATCTTTTATAGAATTATATTGACAATCAGTCTCAGAAAACAAACTTAACTAATTGTTTGGCAATTACATCATAAATAAAAATCAGAAATTAAGTTATTCGGAAACCATTATAAATATAAGATTGGTTTTCGTCTATATGGGTTTTCAGAGCCCATATTTAATATAATGAGGTTGAACACTCATTGGTTGTTATGATTCTTCAAACAACAATACAGCATTGCCACAAGCCAATATAGGCAGTGGTATCAGAACATGTCCTATCTACACCACCTATCTAAACTTGCTCCCTGATCATAATACAACCAGGCATTAGCGGACATTTGATAAAGTATTTTAAATTATATGAAAAAAATATTGTTAAACGAATAATAATTGAGATAAGATTTCCAATTATGTAAGTGTTGAAATCACAAAGGTCAACTGTCATTAGCCACTAATTAGTAATATGATAAATTTGCATTTTTAACTTAATAGTTATACCATTATATTATTATATAGTTGATATACAACTACACTTAATAATTGATATACTTGTAAACCAAAATTATTGGTTTGGTTTACAAGTCTGAATCAGTCTATTTCAACTGAAGATTATATCCACGATTACATATCATCTGAACTTCACGTGAACTTCAGAAAATATTCATCATAACTTAACCTGAATCATCGTAGCTTATGTTTCTTATACTACCACTTTAAATATAATACTGACCTCTGGAAACCAGATTTAGTGATGAAGTTTTGTTCACTACAAGTTAGACCAGACAAATAATATAGAAGTGGTAATTTCACATCACCCCCTTCTGCCTGAGGGGGGAGATAGATAGAAAAGTTCATTTTGCATTTTAATTCAGATGATGCATGAGAATACACTTTTTGATAACCACCAAAAATTTTATTGGACGATTCTAATTGCAAGCTGTCCATGTTTGATTTCTGAAAATAATGGAAAACAATTTAAAATTGCAAATTGTTGAAAATAAATAAAATTTTGTTCCTTTATTTCTCAACATTCTATTATTTTCTGAGAATAATAGGTACCTACATGGATTTCTGCTACCTACGTGAATCGTATGTAAATGCAAGATATGGAGAAAACGTGGACCAAAAACCAATATAATATTCTATAAACCTAGACAGTATTTCTGTGCATCTATCTGGCTCAGTGATTCAATTGTGCCTGTGGTATAATATGTATGTATTGCTTCTCTGGTACTGACTATCGTGTCCACTCATTTCGATCAAATGAATAGTGTCCTTGAAAATCAAAGCCGGCTACTTGAAAGTCAAAGCCGGTTAGGCTTCATTGAACGCTTTTTTGTTGCCATTTAGTTTAGAACCATGTTTATTAACCATTATTACCTGATGAGCCTCCGGAAAAATTATATTCACAATTATCTTGTAACCACTATTTACCACGGCACTAATTTCCGTCTGCCTGCCACGGAAGTTATACAAGATTAAAATTTTAAATTTATATGATAAATTTAAGGAAATACGAAAGCTTATCAGATTTTTTTAAGGGATTATATGACCTGGTAACTAAGACCTTTAGGCCATGTCTTATTTTAATTTATAATATATATTCTTAATTTTATGATAAATGATTTAGTGGAGTGAAATGAAATGAAGATTATTAATTTGAGACAATAATCAACCGGGATGAAATTATATGTAGTGAGATGAGATGATATGGGATGAAAAATAATCTCAGTAAAATGGTGGTCATTTACTAAGATTTTTTCAGTGGACTTTTTGGAGGATCCCGAGAAATTACGTCCAGCGGCTTTGTTTCATTTTCCCACATTCGGGCACTTTCACAGATATTAAACAGTTAATAAACCACCGTTATTACACATTTAAGCCTGAAGAAATACTAAATAGAAAAAATAAAACAAATCACACAACTTCACTCCTCGTGTTCCCACCAATTCAGTCAGATTTTTTAGGTTTTTTACTGCCATAGGTTACCCGACCATTATTAAAGTACATAACACACGCTCGGGTTTGATTCAAACGGACTAAAAAAACTAACAAAATACGCTTTTATAGAAAATCCAACTAAAAAATAGAAAATAAATTTTAATAAATTTGAATTAAAAATAGTGTAGGAAAAACTGATTTTATTGTAAAAAAAGCGTGGGCTACTTTTCAGGATATTATCCATACTACTGATACCATGCACCCCACGCTTTTTTTACAATAAAATCTTTTTTTCTTACACTATTTTTCTATTTTCTATAAAAGCGTATTTTGTTCGTTTTTTTAAACTATTATTTATTTTTCATTTTTTAGTTGAATTTCCTTTTTTTTCATTTTTTTTTTTAATAATTGTAATTTAATTGTCATCGGTCCCTAATAAGTATACCTACCACATTTCAAGTTAATCCGACGTTTTGAAGGGGTCAAAATCATGTTCAAAGATTCCGTTACATACTAACATACATACGTCTGAAGCTAATAAAAGCGTATTAAAAAGGTAATATATGAGTAAGCCATTTCATTTTATCCTTAGTGTACGATGCGCAGACGGCCTCTCGCTCTTATATCGAGAGCTTACGACTGGCCTACAATTAAACCAACATCATTTTTGTGCCGAAGGATATGATGACAACCAGTCGTCCGACTGACATAATTAGAGTGTGTGTGTTAATGCTTTAAGTCCAGTGGATAGTTAAAGATGTTGCTATTAATCACTGTAGTAAAGAAGCTGTTTTTTTTTTTTGCGCAGTGCCTGAACCTCCTACAAGGTGTCAGTGAACAGGGGGCACGCGGGTATGTGGGATTTGACGTTCTGCAGATGTTGGGTGCAGACTGCGGGCCCAAGAATGTTTTTGGGACCCTACCGCACCAAACGACTCCTCTTGCACTCTCACCCAACGTCCAATTTCGGCCCGAAGTCAGAAACCGGTCAGAGTAGGAGGATTCCCGCGATCAACACTACAACCAGACTCACGGCGCTACCCCGAGGACGCCCGGCTGACGGGTCGCGAAGGCGATCGTCGATAAAAAATCGGTCACCGCGGTACAGCGGCCCGTCGGGCCGCACGGGCGATGCCGATGTTGTTCCGGGATACCCCGCTGAATCAGAAACTGCCTACTGGGTCGGAACACAATACACCGCCGACCAGATTGCCCTTCCGTAGTATGTCCAGCGACGACAGCAAAGACGGCAACGTGAACCGCAGCCACCGACGCGTCATCCGATACTCCTGGTGCCAGAGCGCTAAAGTGATGATAGCGTGCGGCGCAGGGGGCCGAGCAATCAAGTCGCGCCATCAACTGAAGGAGTCTGCCTCCTCAAAAGGGAAGTACCGCAACAATTTCGTATCTCTAAACTTAATCTCTGTAACTTAAATTAAAATATAAAAAGATATATCGAGATTTAAAAAGATTAAAATTTGGCTATAGTTTTATATAAGTTGCTATGCGGGTGACATACGCGGAGTGGTAACGCGCATGAAGATAAATAAATAAAAAATTAGAAGATTGTGATTCAAAAATGAATCCGAATCTGATTACTATAAGTGACTAGAGTTGTGCACCCGTTTATACAATTACGGACAATAAAATCGTTCACTCGTAAAACCTACACATTTTATAATTATGACCTCCGTTAACTCAAACAACAATAATAATAATATAGTTTAATAATAATAAAGTTTCTAAACTTCTATCTTCTATTTAATTAACATACTCGTACATCGAATGTTAGAACATTAGAACAATGCAAACGCTTCAGAACCACTTTGAAGTCGGTGTGGCCTAAAGAATAGAGGCAAGTACCTAGACTTGTATGGAGCAATGCAAGGTTTAAAACCAACAGGCAGCAAGCAGGCAGTATACCACATTCACGAATGACTTCCGCGGTGAAGGAGTAGTATTGTGTAATAAAAACCACATATCGAAACAACACATTCAAAAATGTAAAATGAAAATAATTTATGCCAAGTAATCGTAAAGGTAACTCTTAACTCTGCTTTAGGTAATATTTTATTTTAATTTTTACAATAAGATACATTGGACATGTTCTTCATTGAACAAGAAAGCTCATTATCCCGTTGTAGTCATTTGCATGGATTGAGGGTGAGTCCGCCGAAGACACAGGTTATTATTGTCGGTAGTTCAAAAATGTGTTCGAACGTAAAACGGTCGCAGCTTTCGGCTATTTTTTTTTTTTGATGGCGTACAACTTCCTTTCAGCGACACAGTGAAAAATTTAGGAATCTTAATTGATAAAAACCTTTCATGGAACGCACAGATAAAAGAGGTTAGCCGGAAGGTGTTTGCATCAGTTGGATCTTAAGACAGGAATTTTTCTTCAATCTGCCATTAAAACTGCGCTTGCAGTCTCTCCTTCTTCCAATTCTTGACTACGCTGATGCCAGCTATACTGATTTAACCGAAACACAACTTGATAAACTTGAGTGGCTACAAAATGTTCGCATAAGATTCATATTTGGGTTACGGCAATATGATCATGTATCTGAATTTCGCGTTAAACTCAAGTGGTTGCTAATTCGCCTTCGCCGTAATACTCATGTTCTTTCTTTACTTTACTGTATTCTCTTTTACCTCCATACCCCTACATATCTCAAAAAACATATTGAGTTCCTAGGTGATACGGATAACTTTTCTCCGAGATCATCAGATAGCCTGAGACTGAAAATGCCGGCGCATTCAACATCATTCTTTAATAATTCATTCACCACCCAGGCGGTTCGATTTTAGAATACTCTGCCGGATGCAGCGAGAAGTGCTCCAACCTCCAACTTAAAGAAATGCTCCAGTTATAAGTTGACTTCAATGCACAGAGAATAAGGCATTGAAATCTAATTTCTCTGCCACTAGCTTCCACCAATTAGGCCTACTTAGGCCTAATTAGGCCACTTATAGGCAAAACTCATTCTTTTTACGTATCGGTGGTGATCTGAACAGACTTGGCAGGTTGTTAGATATTGACCCATTTTATTCCTCTATCACAGGGGTGAGACGTCAGCTTAGTGCCCGATTTTTCCTGGATGATAACGAGATAGGGGGTAATGTGTAGCCACCAGTTTTTTTTTTTATTAATTTGTATTTGTATCTATATACATACGTACTTCTATAAGTGTACATTTAAATTAGTCTGGTGTATTCCTGCTTTGCTTATGTTGTTTCTTGCTTGCTGATTGTTTTTAATTTCTTTGTTTCTAATAGGTATTTGTTATATTATTATACTGTGTTAGTTGGCTGTTGGTCCTCCTTGTAGTAAATAAATAAATAACTTAAAAAAAACTTTAAACTGCTTCAAAAGAATGGTGAAAGAATATTACTTATCCGATTGCTTAGATGTGTGGACGAGCTCACAGCCCACCTGGTGTTAAGTGGTTACTGGAGCCCATATACATCAACAACGTAAATGCGCCACCCACCTTGAGATATAAGTTGTAAGGTCTCAGTATAGTTACAACGGCTGCCCCACCCTTCAAACCGAAACGCATTACTGCTTCACGGCAGAAATAGGCAGGGCGGTGGTACCTACCCGCGAGGACTCACAACAGGTCCTACCACCAGTAATTACGCAAATTACAATTTTGCGGGTTTTACTTTTATTACACGATGTTATTCCTTCACCGTGGAAGTCAATCGTGAACATTTGTTGAGTACGTATTTCATCAGAAAAATTGGTACCCGCCTGCGGGATTCGAACACCGGTGCATCGCTTCAACACGAATGCACCGGACGTCTTATCTTTTAGGCCACGACGACTTCAAATGTAAGCATATTGGAATATCACTACATAGTATAAAACAAAGTCGCTTTCTCTGTCTCTATATCCTTATACTAGCGACCCGCCCTCGCTTCGCTTCGGAAACATTAAAACACACATGAAACCAAAAAAAAAAATATAAAAAAAAAAGTAGCCTATGTTCATCAGGGACAATGTCGGCTTCTAATGGAAAAAGAATTTTTCAAATCGGTCCAGTAGTTTCGGAGCCTATTCGAAACAAACAAACAAACAAATCTTTCCTCTTTATAATATTTATCCTTATATAGGTACGCTTAAATCTAAAACTACGCAACGGATTTTGATGCGGTTTTTTTAATAGATAGAGTGATTGAAGATGAAGGTTTATATGTATAATAACATCCATTAAATAGTGGAGAAATCAATAATAAATTACAGTTTCCGAAGCGAAGCAAGGGCGGGTCGCTAGTACCTAAATCATAATATAGTGATTTCATATTAGGTATATTTAACGGTATATGTATATTTATTGTATGTATATATTTTCTTCAGTATCGTATTATTAATAGTACACCGATGTATCTTTATTTTTTCAAGAATTTCTGTTAATTAAACAGTTGTCTGGAAGAAATCGCTTTTAGCGATAAGACCGCCTATTGTACAAATGTATAGAATCTGCTTGTTGACCGCTTTCTAATGTTAATTGTGTTTTGGTGTGCAATAAAGTATGTTCTCTCTCCTCTGCCTCTCATTTGAAATGTGGTTTTTATTAGGTTAATAAAATGTTATGTACAAAATATATTATGTATAAACCGACATGAGATTTCGTCCTGCTAATCAAAATTAAACTTTTTTTATGAAATAAATGGCCTTGTAAAGACCTTTTAAACCTTAACGACTGCCGATAAAGAACTTAAGCCAAGACAAATTTCCTTAAATTCTTTAATAATGTGAAGAGGGACATGAAGTAAAGTGAGACGAAGTTAATTAATTTAAAACTTAATTGACCGATTAAATTTTAATTGAATGAAAGGGGATGAGATCCCATAAAATGACATTTCAATATTATGGTAGTTATTTACTGAGACTTTGTAAGGGGCTTTATAAATAGAAGAGCTCGAGAAGCTACGTGCAAGAGCTTTGTTTCTTTTTCTCACATTTGTACAGTTTCATAAATGCAGAACAGTTAATAATCCACTGTTATAACACATATTTTATTTTTTATTCTTTATAAATTCTTTAATAGAGCTATACACCTATTAGGTTAAGTCGGCTTTATAACACATTTTAACCTTAAGAAACATTAAAAAAATAAAATAACTTCCCTCGCGCCCGTTCGCCCGCCATTTACACCTAATATTAGTTTTGTTATTTTATTAAAATTGTAAAGTATTCGAATCGTCAGAATTAATATTATAATGATAATAAAAAACGGAAATTAAACCGTAAAAGTATTTATTTCTATGACTAGCGAAAACCTAAGAAAATACTAGAATTGATGATGTTTAAAGACGTTTGAATTTTGGCTGCTTTACTAAATTCCTTAAAGTACAGGCAGTTCTCCACAAATCGACATCCATACTTTTGTCTATGCTGTGTGTTGTTGGGAGACTCAACGAGCCACCACCACAGTTTTTTTAGGAAGTCAGCTAGTCACCTCAAGTCGCTTTCTGCCAGATACAATGACTTAACCAACGTGCAAACTTTTTTAAATCTTAAAATTAACTAATTAATTTATTAATTTTGTACACATTAAAGAAATAATTCATATAGGGGATAAGTTATATTTTTATTATTTGTGTATATCAATGAGCTATTAATGGCATGTAGGTATAGCAATGCAGATGACAGCATTTTTTTTTCTACCTAAGTTGAGAGCCTTGAGAGGCTATTTCAGCGTAACCTTAACTATAGTAAAATTATTTTGTCCGTGGAGTTTGGGTCATAAAACATAAGCCGGCTAGGGCGGTGAGCATGTTGCGCGAGCGCAACGTTATTATCGATAAAAACAAATGAGTCATCGAAGGCAGGTACACGGCGGCGGGGTAGTATACGAAGGAAGGGGGGTGAGACATTGTTATATTATGAGTCATTTGTACTTACCTGCAAATTAAAGTACATTATGTCGAAGAGAAATGTATTTTTATGCATTCGTTCTCTGAATTTCTTTAGTGACACAATGGCTACTCCATTGTTTTGTATCAAAACGGCAGAATTTATTCAAAATAATATCTGCACGTGTTGTTATCAACAATGTATTAAAAATTTTCACTGAAATAAGAATGGATCCCGAAAAGTTACAAAGTGTTAATTTCTGCCGTTCTCGTTAACTTGCTGCGGCGATATGTGGTGTAACTGTTCGATTAGTGATTTTTACTTTCATTTTTATCACTAACCCACAAAATGACCAAACTAAATACACTATCGATAACGCTTATCGACAACAATAATGCGCATCACTATGCCCGTCCATAAGGCTCGTGAGTGGAAGAGAGAGCGAAATACTTGCTTCACCGATCCGATTTTTTATGACCCAAACTGCACGGACAAAATAATTCTACTATAGTAGGTGAGCTCACGGGGCTCAAACCTGACAACGTTGCTAACACGAACCCTAGCAAGAGCCGTGCTTCGCAGAATCTACCACTGGATCGGAAACGCGACCCAGTGAGAAGATCCGGCGAGAAACTCAGTGGGCTGTGTCTGAGGGTTAATTTACTCGTCGAGCCCTTCGTCGCAAGCGACGGGTTCGACGAGAGCGATGACCGGTAATGACAGCACGGGGGATGCGCAATATATCCGTAGTCTTTCTTTGGAGCGTGGTGCAAGAGAGACGATCTAAGCTTGCGTCTGAAGCGGAGAGCTCTCTGGGACGAGTCCACGAGTGGGGTGAATCAAAATTAGTTTAATTCAACCCGTTGAAGACACAAGTTTGTGCGTTCACTGTGAAGAAGGACCCCTTTGTCATGGTGCCGCAATGCCAAGGAATATCCCTGCAACCTTCTACGAGTATCGGGATATTGGGTTCGACATTTCGAGCGATGTCCAATTGCGGAGTTATTTGGAGAGCAAAGCCAAGTTGGCGTCCAAAATGCTAGGAGTACACAACAGAGCGAAGCAGTACTTCACGCCTGGACCAAGACTTGCTTTATAAAGCACAAGTCCGGCCTTGCGTGGAGTACTGCTCCCACCACTGGGCCAGGGCTCCCAAATACCAGCTTCTTCCATTTGACTCCATACAGAAGAGAGCCGTTCGGATGGTCGATAATTCTATTCTCGCAGATTGTTTTGAACCTCATAGTCTGCTTCGCTTCTCTCTTTATTTTGTACCATGTTCCATCGGGAGTGCTCTGAGGAATTGTTTGAGATGATTTCATCATTTCTTTTTTACCATCGCACCGCCTGCCACCAGATTAGAGTCCATCGATACTCCCTGGAGCCATTGCGTTCATCCACATTGCCTTTCCAGTGATCTTTTTTCCCACATACCATCCAGCTTTGGAATGAGCTCTCCTCAACAGTTTTTTACGAATACTATGACTTGTCCTTCTTTAAACAAGGTTTGTGGAGAGTACTTAATGCTAGGCAGCAGCTTGGTTCTGCCCCTAGCATTACTAAAGTCCATGGGCAACGGTAACCACTCACCATCAGGTGGGCTCTATGCTCATGTGCCTATAAGACTACAAGGGCAACAACAAAAAAATATTTTTAGAAACTATAGATCTTATTAATTGTAAATGTCTTTGCTTTTCAAAATGACATCATTAGTGGTATAAAGTGCACATAATGAAGTATTATTACCAAAAAATAAGGTATATAATTTATAATAAAATAATATTAATAATTATTAATATTTTTGTCTATCCAATCATCTATCAGTGAAATAAAAGTGGTGTTTATTTTAAACTACCAACAATACTCCAACAGATGAGAACAACTTCATGAAATATCAGTCCTTATAAATACAAATTTCACTATATTAAATAAATTAACTAAATAAATTTCACTAATATTAATGGCAAATAAATGAGTGTTAATCTGTAAAACTTTGTTTCATATTTTATTTTATTTACATTGAGTATGAATAAAATTTAACACTAGTACATTATGTTCTAACCCTTTATTTATTATAACAATATTTCTATAAATTTTTTAGTGCTATTTGTTTATTTGTTTTCCAGGAAAGGTATGTATTCCAAAACAAGGCAACAATCTGAACAACTAACACTTGATAGTGAAGTGGGACATAATAAAAGTTTAGAATTTGTACCCAAGGCCATATGTAATAATTTGTTGTTAAGACATCAAAATAATTAGATTTTAAATCCACTTTAATTATATCCCATGTCTTTCTTTGTAATGCAGCTACACTTATAAGCAGTATACATAAAAATGATGGTGCAAACAGGAACTGATCCAAAAATACCTTTTTAATTGCAACAATTTTTCCTTGTGATCCTACATATTTATTTAAAACACCATACCAGGTACGTAATGCTGGACCCTGAAAAGCATCAATTTGTGTCACATTACAAACTCAGTTCTTGTTATTTAATCCCTAATCGAATATTAGAAGGTCTAATTGCTAAAACGCTAAGTTTATTTTTAAGCTGATGTTCGAATATTCGTTGGTACCCTAGAATATATCCCTTTAATAATGCATAGATACTTACACCAATAAAAAAACCAATAGAACCAAATTTTAAAGTTCTCTGAATATCAGTATCCCTCCAATATGTTTTTTCAATGATTACTTGCGAAATCACATCCCCTGTTGCCATTAGGCCTCCCGTTTGAATAGCCTGAACTAAATACGGTCTACGCCTTAAAAAGTCTTGATAATATTTAAAGAAACGATAAGTCATTTTCTGTTTGGATTTCTATTATACCTAATGAATAACTCCACTATATACCTATCCTAGTTTTGTGTATTTCTTAAGGTTTGTAGACAGGAGCTTAAAAACACTTCAAAAGTTCAAACGCCGGCGGAAGAATTTAAAAAAAGTTTTTTTTTATTTATTAAGTTTGTAATTTTTTGTTTTAAGCAAGTGTTATCTATGCTCGAAGCTTACAAGACTCATCGGGGACTTTTTGGCGGGATCGCGAGGAGTGAAGTTGTGTGATTTGTTTTATTTTGTCTATTTAGTGTTTCTTCGGGTTTAAATGTGTAATAATGGTGGTTTATTAACTGTTTAATATCTGTGAAAGTGCACAAATGTGGGAAAATGAAACAAAGCCGCTGGACGTAACTTCTCGGGATCCTCCAAAAAGTCCACTAAAAAATCTTAGTAAACGACCACCATTTTACTGAGATTATATTAATCATCCCATATCATCTCAATTCATTTCATTTAATTTCATCCCAGTTGATTAGTGTCTCAAATTAATCATCTTCATTTCATTTCATTCCTTATTATCATTTTTCATCAAAATATGAATAATATAAATTAAAATAAGACATGACTTAAAGGTCTCAGTTAGCAGGTCATAAAATCTCCTAAAAAAAAGACTCATTGGGCTCACTGAATTTGGCCCCACTTTTTTTAGTCACACAAGTAGTAAGTTACACAAGTCTACCAGCGTTTACGCTTACTTTCCATATAGAATCCCATTAAATTGAAATGAGGTTAATTGTGTGAATATGCAGTCTATAGATTCGATATTAATACTAATAGTAAATGCCGTTGCCTGATGTCTGCCCATTTATGCCAGACAAAAATAAAAAAGTAGCCACTGCCAATTATGTAATGATGAAAATAAATATATGACTGAATTTTCCCAACCAAAGAGTCGTTCTGGTAAATAAAATAAGCAGATAATTTAAAGAAAGCCTTGTAGCACAGCGCGAATAAAAACAGCTGCCTATTAAAATATGGCAGAAAAATAAAATTATTTCATAAAAAAATATTAAATTTTACAACACAGCACACTTTAAGCGCTTAAAGCGCCTTATTCACGTTCCATCTTGCTGTACGTCCCGCCAAGGTCATGCACGATGCACGATGCAAAAGGATCATGAATAGGCTTGACGTACGTCGATAATTATTATTGTTTGCTGGATTTGCAGGACCAATTTCGCATCCAGCGAGCGCCCCCACCACCGCGAACGTCGTGCAGATAGACAGTGAATAACGCGGACGTACGTCAGAGCGGTCCTGCGTCGTGCGTGCTTGATCGTGTATAGACTTGCTGTACAGCAGATTTCACATTTAGAGCTTGTTTCGAGAGGAGACTGCACATCAAAATGGATCGTAAAACACTTTAAAAAACATGGAATGTCTCAAGCGCAGACTATATGAATAAACAAAAAATAATAAACGTATTTTTTAGGCCTATTTTAGGGGAAGCTGCAAGGATTGATAGCGTGCGTAAAAAATTATATTAATGATTTGAATATACTCTGCACGTTTAAAAAAATCATCCAAAACCTCTTGCTATTTTTTGCCTCTCTTCTGCTGCTGCTGACAACATCAGAAGGACTCCCCATTTTTGGCGTTTTGATAAAACAGCTGGCTTTTTAAATTAATTAAAACCTTCTCATTTAATTCGTTCGATTTATTCTGTTCGCGCTTGATACATCCAGCACCGCGGCCTTGAGCTGACGTTCACAGTCTATCTGCACGACGTTCGCGGTGGTTGGGGCGCTTGCTGGATACAAAATTGGTCGTGCAAATCCAGCAAACATTTAATAATAATTATCGACGTACGTCAAGCCTATTCACGGTACTTTTGCATCGTGCATCGTGCATGGCCTTGGCGGGACGTACAGCAAGGTGGAACGTGAATAAAGCGCTTAACTCTGTTTATAACTACGGTTTTTTTATCATTTCCATTTTCTACACTAGCACTATTTCGGTGAGTCTTCCGACAACATCTTTCTGTTTACGGCGGACACTTTTTGAACTTATCCACTTTAATAAATAGTGCTCCCTATTTCTACCCTCCATAGTGAAATCTTTCAAAAGCCTAGAACACGAATATTCGGCAATACGAAAATGATTCATAGTGTGAAAGTTATATGACTACATTCCTACTTTACTTTTATGTTATCAGAAAAACTCAATTTAAATTATCAATCTATTCCATTTCGGATACCTACCATTTCAATAAGTTATTTCATAATTCTTATTGAAATAGAAAAAACGAATATCGATTATTTGAAGTTATACTTTTTTAGGCGCGTTATGAAAAATTGATGAGAGTGAAATTTTACGATGCGTGGCACCGTGACACAAAGTTGCCCACTAAATCGCTCATAACAATACGGCCGACGTAACTTGGCGAGTCTGAATATAGCCGCAGGTGAACTTTCCGAACCGTACCTTTTTTTTCCCTATCTAGGCTGGTAGCCTTGAGAGGCTATTCCAGCGGAACCTTAACTAGTAGGTGAGCTCACGGGGCTCAAACCTAAGAATGTTGCTAACACGAACCCTAGCAAGAGCCGTGCTTCGCAGAATCTACCACCGGATCGGAAATGCGACCCACTGAGAAGATCCGGCGAGAAACTCAGTGGGCTGTGTCTGAGGGTCCGAACCGTACCTACCGAGAGTTACCGAATTTATACGATGTCAAGAAAAGGGATGTCCAATATGCGTGTTTGAGGATGTTGTTTAAGCGATTTAGAAGTTAATTTTCAAATTGATTAAAATTTAAATATAAATAAAAGAAATAAATTTAATAAAAATAAAGTATAGCTTCTTACGCGTGTACATAAGTACACGCACTCTTTTTTGGATCAATAATGTCTAAAAGTGTTAAATCGGGAGAATGTCCATATATACTCTGAAATCGTAGAAAAATCGTTATATTTCGGTATTTCGGTAGAGCCCATATCAGTAGATATACCGAAAAATCGTTAGGTTCGAGACCACTGAGCAGGGGCTACTGCTGTAGGTACGAAAACTGCCTCTTATTGAGGTGAACAACTTAAAGGCTTATTACACTTGGCTAAATTTAGTCGACTGAATTCAGTCGCTACTGAACTCAGTGAAGTGTAATAGCATTCAGTAAGCTAGCATACTAAATTCAGTAGCAAGGATGGTTTCTGACTTAATCATTTAGAAGCCTAATTAGAAACGCATTTAGGTGTAATCGCATTTAGTTACTTAATGATTTCAGTCGTCCCATAGATCTCCGTGCGTAAGGACGTTCTGCTTGTTTTTTACTTCCGAATAAAAAGTATTTATTTCAGTCACCTTTATTTAATGTGTCAGACATTTATAAATAGCCCGACATGTTTTAGGGATAGTTTTTGTCAGCAGGGGTTGGAATATTAACGAACTAAATTTTAAATCTTGATACGAATTTCCTGTTGCAAGAAATCTTAATGTTACAACAAATCTTTCTTTTGGACTTATACTATCGTGGGATTAGATATGTAATAGTTATATAATAGTTATATAATAGATTAACGTAGTATCCTGCTTTTGAATGAACGGCGTCACAAGGCTTACTAATCGGTCAAACGATCTCGAATCCATTCGTAGGTCTGCTGGTTCTAAATCACTCATAATGTTCATATTTGCTAACTTTCCGTGCAGCAATAAATATTTCTTCTTCTTTTTTATTTCAATTGAGCCGACAGCGAGGGCTACGCCAAGACCAATTTTTTGTTGTATAGACAACACTGGGGCCATCCTCTTACACACACGACACATCCAACTTCGTCGCGTTTAAACTGGCAATTGATTCAGTAACTAAATTAAGAAAAGTGTAATCAGAACTTGCTTCTAAGCTTCTGAATTCAGTCGACTAAATTTAGCCAAGTGTAATTAGCCTTTTACCTACTTCAGTCATAGATTATACACTTAATATACTTCAGTCACTAAAGGAATCAGGAAGCAGTTTATCGGAACGAATCACTCACTACTTACACAAATCGATTGCGTACGTCCCTAGTTTTCTTCATTTCATGTACCTACATGCTATGATGGTGGATTAAGGAAATATGGAATATAGTACTCCAAAGGCAAACTAATTATTGAAAATAGATACCATTTCACGTTTTAAACTTTAAATTGTGTTCATTACTATTGTGGAAAGTTGAGAATCGAGCTGCCAAGATGGATAAAAGGAAGCTGTCAACTGCTGGAGATAGTCTTTATGAAATACTCCAAGTTCCAAAAACTGCTACGGCAGAAGATGTAAAGAAAAGTTATCGAAAATTAGCTTTGAAATATCATCCTGATAAAAATCACAACAGCCCTGAAGCTTCAGAAAAATTTAAGGAAGTCAATCGTGCCCACACTATATTGAGTGACGCTACAAAAAGAAATATTTACGACAATTACGGTTCGCTCGGACTTTATATTGCAGAACAATTTGGAGAAGAAAACGTCAATGCATATTTCGTGGTAACGAGTACCTGGTGCAAAGTATTATGTGCATTTTGCACTATCATAACCGGTTGCTGCTGCTGCTTTTGTCTATGCTGTTGTTGTAACTGCTGCTGTGGAAAATGTAAACCACGTCCACCAGAAGAATCTGGTGACTACCACACTTTGGAGCGTGATGACTCAGATGGTGTTCAACCAGTAACGTCGCAGCCTAGCGTAGAAGGACGTCCCACTGGTGAACAAGCTCCACCAATTGCCATGCCGGCGCCATCGTCTTCTGGTGCTTCTGAGAACACCGGCTTGAACACAGGTGGGGTCAATTATGGAATTTCAAACTGAAGGGTAAATTTGTTGTTATATAATTTAAAAATGTAAACTTCTATGAGAACAATGGAATTTGTTGCAGAATAATTGCAGCCCTTACATCACATCACGTTTTTGTATATATTTATTTAAAAATATATTTTTGTCACATTTTTGAGGAAACAACTAACCAGAACCGTTAAACTACACCAAAATGATCAGAAGGCTTATTAATACAACTGATGTTAGTGTCTGCTCAAACACAGTTCTGTTAAGTCACTATTAAGTAACATGTAAAGAATGCAATTTTGTTATTCACACACTCAAATCTCTGAATGTGTGTTCAAATAACTACTGAGTGCTTTCTTTTTCAAAACACTATAAGAAAATTAAAATTCATTTTGTAACACGACT